GGTAAGTACCTTGTAGTGGACAGGTGAGTTACCTGTGACTGCCAGGTAAGTACCTCGTAGTGGACAGGTGAGTTACCTGTGACTGCCAGGTAAGTGCCCCGTAGTGGACAGGTGAGTTACCTGTGACTGCCAGGTAAGTGCCTCGTAGTGGACAGATGAGTTACCTGTGACTGCCAGGTAAAGTACCTTGTAGTGGACAGGTGAGTTACCTGTGACTGCCAGGTAAGTGCCCCGTAGTGGACAGGTGAGTTACCTGTGACTGCCAGGTAAGTGCCCCGTAGTGGACAGGTGAGTTACCTGTGACTGCCAGGTAAGTGCCCCGTAGGGGACAGGTGAGTTACCTGTGACTGCCAGGTAAGTGCTTCGTAGTGGACAGGTGAGTTACCTGCGACTGCCAGGTAAGTGCCTCGTAGTGGAAAGGTGAGTTACCTGTGACTGCCAGGTAAGTGCCCCGTAGTGGACAGGTGAGTTACCTGTGACTGCCAGGTAAGTGCCTCGTAGTGGACAGGTGAGTTACCTGTGACTGCCAGGTAAGTGCCCCGTAGTGGACACAGGTGAGTTACCTGTGACTGCCAGGTAAGTGCCTCGTAGTGGACAGGTGAGTTACCTGTGACTGCCAGGTAAGTGCCTCGTAGTGGACAGGTGAGTTACCTGTGACTGCCAGGTAAGTGCCTCGTAGAGGACAGGTGAGTTACCTGTGACTGCCAGGTAAGTGCCTCGTAGCGGACAGGTGAGTTACCTGCGACTGCCAGGTAAGTGCCTCGTAGTGGACAGCTGAGTTACCTGTGACTGCCAGGTAAGTACCTTGTAGTAGACAGGTGAGTTACCTGCGACTGCCAGGTAAGTGCCTCGTAGTGGACAGCTGAGTTACCTGTGACTGCCAGGTAAGTACCTTGTAGTAGACAGGTGAGTTACCTGCGACTGCCAGGTAAGTGCCTCGCAGTGGACAGCTGAGTTACCTGTGACTGCCAGGTAAGTGCCTCGTAGAGGACAGGTGAGTTACCTGTGACTGCCAGGTAAGTGCCTCGTAGCGGACAGGTGAGTTACCTGCGACTGCCAGGTAAGTGCCTCGTAGTGGACAGCTGAGTTACCTGTGACTGCCAGGTAAGTACCTCGTAGTGGACAGGTGAGTTACCTGTGACTGCCAGGTAAGTACCCGGTAGTAGACACAGGTGAGTTACCTGTGACTGCCAGGTAAGTGCCCCGTAGTAGACACAGGTGAGTTACCTGCAACTGCCAGGTAAGTGCCCCGTAGTAGACACAGGTGAGTTACCTGCGACTGCCAGGTAAGTGCCCCGTAGTGGACAGGTGAGTTACCTGCGACTGCCAGGTGAGTACCTTGTAGTGGACAGGTGAGTTACCTGTGACTGCCAGGTAAGTGCCCCGTAGTAGACACAGGTGAGTTACCTGTGACTGCCAGGAAAGTACCTCGTAGTAGACACAGGTGAGTTACCTGTGACTGCCAGGTAAGTGCCCCGTAGTAGACACAGGTAAGTTACCTGTGACTGCCAGGTAAGTGCCCCGTAGTAGACACAGGTGAGTTACCTGCGACTGCCAGGTAAGTGCCCCGTAGTAGACAGGTGAGTTACCTGCGACTGCCAGGTAAGTACCTTGTAGAGGACAGGTGAGTTACCTGTGACTGCCAGGTAAGTGCCTCGTAGTGGACAGATGAGTTACCTGTGACTGCCAGGTAAGTACCTTGTAGTGGACAGGTGAGTTACCTGTGACTGCCAGGTAAGTGCCCCGTAGTGGACAGGTGAGTTACCTGTGACTGCCAGGTAAGTGCCCCGTAGTGGACAGGTGAGTTACCTGTGACTGCCAGGTAAGTGCCCCGTAGGGGACAGGTGAGTTACCTGTGACTGCCAGGTAAGTGCCTCGTAGTGGACAGGTGAGTTACCTGCGACTGCCAGGTAAGTGCCTCGTAGTGGACAGGTGAGTTACCTGTGACTGCCAGGTAAGTGCCCCGTAGTGGACAGTTGAGTTACCTGTGACTGCCAGGTAAGTGCCCCGTAGCAGACAGGTGAGATACCTGTGACTGCCAGGTAAGTGCCTCATAGCGGACAGGTGAGTTACCTGTGACTGCCAAGAAAGTACCTTGTAGTGGACAGGTGAGTTACCTGCGACTGCCAGGTAAGTACCTTGTAGTGGACAGGTGAGTTACCTGTGACTGCCAGGTAAGTACCTCGTAGTGGACAGGTGAGTTACCTGTGACTGCCAGGTACGTACCTCGTAGTGGACAGGTGAGTTACCTGCGACTGCCAGGTAAGTGCCTCGTAGTGGACAGGTGAGTTACCTGTGACCGCCAGGTACGTACCTCGTAGTGGACAGGTGAGTTACCTGCGACTGCCAGGTAAGTGCCCCGTAGTGGACACAGGTGAGTTACCTGTGACTGCCAGGTAAGTACCTAGTAGTGGACACAGGTGAGTTACCTGTGACTGCCAGGTAAGTGCCTCGTAGTGGACAGGTGAGTTACCTGTGACTGCCAGGTAAGTGCCTCGTAGTGGACAGGTGAGTTACCTGTGACTGCCAGGTAAGTGCCTCGTAGTGGACAGGTGAGTTACCTGTGACTGCCAGGTAAGTGCCTCGTAGTGGACAGGTGAGTTACCTGTGACTGCCAGGTAAGTGCCTCGTAGTAGACAGGTGAGTTACCAGTGACTTCCAGGTAAGTGCCTCGTAGTGGACAGGTGAGTTACCTGTGACTGCCAGGTAAGTACCTTGTAGTGGACAGGTGAGTTACCTGCGACTGCCAGGTAAGTGTCTTGTAGTGGACAGGTGAGTTACCTGTGACTGCCAGGTAAGTGCCCCGTAGTAAACAGGTGAGTTACCTGCGACTGCCAGGTAAGTGCCTCATAGAGGACAGGTGAGTTACCTGTGACTGCCAGGTAAGTACCTTGTAGTGGACAGGTGAGTTACCTGCGACTGCCAGGTAAGTGCCTTGTAGTGGACAGGTGAGTTACCTGTGACTGCCAGGTAAGTGCCCCGTAATAGACAGGTGAGTTACCTGCGACTGCCAGGTAAGTGCCTCGTAGAGGACAGGTGAGTTACCTGCGACTGCCAGGTAAGTGCCCCGTAGTGGACACAGGTGAGTTACCTGTGACTGCCAGGTAAGTGCCTTGTAGTGGACAGGTGAGTTACCTGTGACTGCCAGGTAAGTGCCTCGTAGTGGACAGGTGAGTTACCTGTGACTGCCAGGTAAGTGCCTTGTAGTGGACAGGTGAGTTACCTGCGACTGCCAGGTAAGTGCCCCGTAGTAGACACAGGTGAGTCACCTGTGACTGCCAGGTAAGTACCTTGTAGTGGACAGGTGAGTTACCTGCGACTGCCAGGTAAGTGCCCCGTAGTAGACAGGTGAGTTACCTGTGACTGCCAGGTAAGTGCCTCGTAGCGGACAGGTGAGTTACCTGCGACTGCCAGGTAAGTGCCCCGTAGTGGACAGGTGAGTTACCTGTGACTGCCAGGTAAGTGCCTCGTAGTGGACAGGTGAGTTACCTGTGACTGCCAGGTAAGTGCCCCGTAGTGGACAGGTGAGTTACCTGTGACTGCCAGGTAAGTACCTTGTAGTGGACAGGTGAGTTACCTGTGACTGCCAGGTAAGTGCCTCGTAGTGGACAGGTGAGTTACCTGTGACTGCCAGGTAAGTGCCTCGTAGTGGACAGGTGAGTTACCTGCGACTGCCAGGTAAGTACCTCGTAGTGGACAGGTGAGTTACCTGTGACTGCCAGGTAAGTGCCTCGTAGTGGACAGGTGAGTTACCTGTGACTGCCAGGTAAGTGCCTCGTAGCGGACAGGTGAGTTACCTGTGACTGCCAGGTAAGTGCCTCGTAGTAGACAGGTGAGTTACCTGTGACTGCCAGGTAAGTACTTCGTAGTGGACAGGTGAGTTACCTGTGACTGCCAGGTAAGTACTTCGTAGTGGACAGGTGAGTTACCTGCGACTGCCAGGTAATTACCTCGTAGTGGACAGGTGAGTTACCTGCGACTGCCAGGTAAGTACCTTGTAGTAGACAGGTGAGTTACCTGTGACTGCCAGGTAAGTACATTGTAGTAGACAGGTGAGTTACCTGTGACTGCCAGGTAAGTACCTTGTAGTGGACAGGTGAGTTACCTGTGACTGCCAGGTAAGTGCCTCGTAGTAGACAGGTGAGTTACCTGTGACTGCCAGGTAAGTACCTTGTAGTGGACAAGTGAGTTACCTGTGACTGCCAGGTAAGTGCCTCGTAGTGGACACAGGTGAGTTACCTGTGACTGCCAGGTAAGTACCTCGTAGTAGACAGGTGAGTTACCTGCGACTGCCAGGTAAGTACCTAGTAGTAGACAGGTGAGTTACCTGTGACTGCCAGGTAAGTGCCTCGTAGTGGACAGGTGAGTTACCTGTGACTGCCAGGTAAGTGCCTCGTAGAGGACAGGTGAGTTACCTGTGACTGCCAGGTAAGTGCCCCGTAGTAGACACAGGTGAGTTACCTGTGACTGCCAGGTAAGTACCCGGTAGTAGACACAGGTGAGTTACCTGTGACTGCCAGGTAAGTGCCCCGTAGTAGACACAGGTGAGTTACCTGTGACTGCCAGGTAAGTGCCTCGTAGTGGACAGGTGAGTTACCTGTGACTGCCAGGTAAATACCCGGTAGTAGACACAGGTGAGTTACCTGTGACTGCCAAGTAAGTGCCCCGTAGTAGATACAGGTGAGTTACCTGCGGCTGCCAGGTAAGTACCTCGTAGTGGACAGGTGAGTTACCTGTGACTGCCAGGTAAGTACCTCGTAGTGGACAGGTGAGTTACCTGCGACTGCCAGGTAAGTACCTCGTAGTAGACACAGGTGAGTTACCTTGACTGCCAGGTAAGTGCCCCGTAGTAGACACAGGTGAGTTACCTGCGACTGCCAGGTAAGTGCCCCGTAGTAGACACAGGTGAGTTACCTGCGACTGCCAGGTAAGTGCCCCGTAGTGGACAGGTGAGTTACCTTGACTGCCAGGTAAGTGCCCGTAGTAGACAGGTGAGTTACCTGCGACTGCCAGGTGCGCCAGTATCCGCCGGTGCCGCGGAAGGTGGGCACGCCGCTCTCGGCACTCACGCCGGCGCCCGTCAGCACCACCACGTGACGCGCCCGGCTCAGAACCTCCCGGAATCTACCCATGTCTGTGGGGGGAGGGGCGGGGCGGGGGGGACGAGGTGGGGGGAGGGGGGGGGAAATGGGGGGGAGGGGGGACGAGGTGGGGGGAGGGGGGGGGGAATGTGGGGGGGGAGGGGAAACGAGGTGGCGGGAGGGCGGAGATGGGGTGAGGTAGGGGGGAAATGGGGGGGAGGGGGAACGAGGTGGGGGGGAGGTGGGGGACAGGGGGGGGAACGAGGTGGGGGGGGGGGTACGAGGTGGGAGGAGGGGGGAGGTGGGACGAGGTGGGGGGGAGAGGGAGGTGGGGGGAGGGGGGAGGTAGGGGGGAAATAGGGGGAAGGGGGGAACGAGGTGGGGGGGGGGTACGAGGTGGGGGGGGAGGGGAGAACGAAGTGGGGGGGGAACGAGGTGGGGGGGGGTACGAGGTGGGGGGGGGGGGTACGAGGTGTGGGGAGGGGATAACGAGGTGGGGGGAGGGGAGAACGAGGTGGGGGGGGGAACGAGGTGGGGGGGAGGGGGGAACAAGGTGGGGGGGAGGGGGAACGAGGTGGGGGGGAGGGGGGAACAAGGTGGGGGGAGGGGGGAACAAGGTGGGGGGGAGGGGGAACGAGGTGGGGGGAGGGGGGAACAAGGTGGGGGGGAGGGGGGAACGAGGTGGGGGGAGGGGGGAACAAGGTGGGGGGGAGGGGGGAACGAGGTGGGGGGGGGGTACGAGGTGTGGGGAGGGGATAACGAGGTGGGGGGAGAAGAGAACGAGGTGGGGGGGGGGGGGGGAACGAGGTGGGGGGGAGGGGGGAACAAGGTGGGGGGGAGGGGGAACGAGGTGGGGGGGAGGGGGGAACAAGGTGGGGGGAGGGGGGAACAAGGTGGGGGGGAGGGGGAACGAGGTGGGGGGGAGGGGGGAACAAGGTGGGGGGGAGGGGGGAACAAGGTGGGGGGAGGGGGGAACAAGGTGGGGGGGGAGGGGGAACGAGGTGGGGGGAGGGGGGAACAAGGTGGGGGGGAGGGGGGAACGAGGTGGGGGGAGGGGGGAACAAGGTGGGGGGGAGGGGGGAACGAGGTGGGGGGGAGGGGGAACGAGGTGGGGGGAGGGGGGAACAAGGTGGGGGGAGGGGGGAACAAGGTGGGGGGGAGGGGGAACGAGGTGGGGGGAGGGGGGAACAAGGTGGGGGGGAGGGGGGAACGAGGTGGGGGGAGGGGGGAACGAGGTGGGGGGGAGGGGGGCCACTGAGCTCGGTTTGCGTGTGACGGTTTCCTGTGTTGGGATCGAAACGTCGTGATTTTTTTTTCTATCTCACGTGACTTTACCGAAAGACCCAACGAGTAGTGTAGTGTATAGTGTATTATACTAGTACAGCACAACATTTACAATTATAGTGTGGTGTATAGTGTATTATACTAGTACAGCACAACATTTACAATTATTGTGTGGTGTATAGTAGGGTAGTGTATAGTGCAGTGTATAGTCGTGTAGTTTATAGTGTAGTGTATAGTTGATTATACTAGTACAGCACAACATTTACAATTATTGTGTGGTGTATAGTGTAGTGTATAGTGCAGTGTATAGTCGTGTAGTTTACAGTGTAGTGTATAGTGTAGTATAGTTGTACAGCATACCGATGTGTTGGAGAGTAAACTCACTCCGCAACATTTACAATTCCAGTACCGTGACGTTTCGTCTGGTGATGCTGGTCGTTATTACCGGCGAGTTCAAACGAAAACAATTTAAATCTCACGGCTGAACTGCGTAGATATTTTATTTTTACACGAAGCAGCGTTGGCCACACATGGACGAGCTCAACGAAGTGGGCGGCTTATCGTCGGCATCGTCGTCGTCATCACGTGGAAATGCACAACAGCCAAAGTCTCTTAGACGCGTGGTGGTCGTCGTCGATTACTGAATGTGCAACAAACCCGCAAGGCCCGGAGACACAATCTACGGCAACCACGAGGAGCGAGAGAGAGACACGCAAACTCCAAATATACAGCAGCAGGCGTCATCAGGGTCGGGATCGAACCCACGACCTCCTGTATACCAGGCGAGGTAGTTAACATCTCCTAGCCACCGTGATGATGATGAGAGAGACATGCAAACTCCAAATATACAGCAGCAGGCGTCATCAGGGTCGGGATCGAACCCACGACCTCCTGTATACCAGGCGAGGTAGTTAACATCTCCTAGCCACCGTGATGATGAGAGAGACACGCAAACTCCAAATATACAGCAGCAGGCGTCATCAGGGTCGGGATCGAACCCACAACCTCCTGTATACCAGGCGAGGTAGTTAACATCTCCTAGCCACCGTGATGATGATGAGAGAGAGACACGCAAACTCCAAATATACAGCAGCAGGCGTCAGGGTCGGGATCGAACCCACAACCTCCTGTACACCAGGCGAGGTAGTTAACATCTCCTAGCCACCGTGATGATGATGAGAGAGAGACACGCAAACTCCAAATATACAGCAGCAGGCGTCAGGGTCGGGATCGAACCCACAACCTCCTGTACACCAGGCGAGGTAGTTAACATCTCCTAGCCACTGTAGCGGTGGATGTTTTACTCCGGATCCTCCGGTTTTCCCCCTCCATATTTCGAATCAACGTGCGTCTCGATTACTTAGAGTCACTTTCCTGCTATCAATTTCCACCTTTGATGATGATGACGACGACGATGATGATGATGAGAAGCCCACTTCGTTGAGTTATCGTTAGCGCTGACCAAGTCGCTTCTGGAAAAACAAACTAATCGCTCCTTGGGCCTTACCTGGCAAGATACAACACATAGTTTAGCTTCCTTGTTTTAAAGGTTAAATTATCTCAACCTTTCCTCGACTCTGCACTCCAACCGTGCTCTCTGTACCGTTTGTTGCTGCTCTAAAGTTCTCACCTGCCCCTTACTGGTAAACGTGTGAACAAAAAAAAGTCAACTTCAAAACGCATCGGATACCTCGGCCATGAGATTCAAGTAAAGATCCCGGTAAAGTATTCTTAGGTTTTTCGGTAAAGTCACGTAGGTAAAAAAAATTTAAATTTATAAAAGTAAAATAAAATAAAAATATTTTACTCGGTAAAGTCACGTAGGTAAAAAAAATTAAATTAATAAAAGTAACATAAAATAAAAATATTTTCACTTTTATCCATTTAAAATTTTTTTACCTACGTGACTTTACCGAAAAAACCTAAGAATATGAATCCTTGCAGTCACGAAAGCTTCACATCTAGAATCCCGGTAAAAGCTCGCTCGCTCGCTATCGCACTCACCTGAGCTGGGTCTGGCCATGGCCAGGCACTGCCCGGTCACCTGCAAGAACGCGGAGCGGCACAAGCTGCTGCTGCTGCTGCTGCGACCCAGCAGCGGCGGCAGCGCCCAGCAACGAGCCGGTAGCATCGCCCCCTGCACACGGGGGGAGGGGAGTGCAGGGTGCAAGGAGAGACAAAGGCGGAGACCGCGGGAATTCGGCCCTGCTGCGGCAGCAGCAGCAGCAGCAGCAGGGCCGTGGATGCGGATGCCGCGTGGAGGAGGCGGTGGTGACGCGCGCAGTGGGTCACGGAGGGCACGTGGGTGACACTGGGTGGGGTGTGTGTGTGGTGTGGGTGTGTTGTGTGTGGTGTGTGTTGTGTGGTGTGTTGTGTGTGTGTGTTGTGTGGTATGTGTGTGGCGTGTGTGGTGTGTGTGTTGTGTGTGTTGGGTTGTGAATGTTTTGTGTGTGTGGTGTGTGTGTGTGTTGTTTGTGCGGTGTGTGTGTGGTGTGTGTGTGGTGTGTGTGTTGTGGGTGTTGTGTATGTGTGGTGTGTGTGGTGTGTGTGTGGTGTGTTGTGTGTGGTGTGTGTGTGGTGTGTTGTGTGTGTGTGTTGTGTGTGTGGTGTGTTGTGTGTGGTGTGTGTGGTGTGTTGTGTGTGGTACAGGTGTGTGTGTGTTGTGTGTGTGGTGTGGTGTGTGTGATGTGGGTGTGTGTGATGTGTGTGTGATGTATGTGTGGTGTGTGTGTGAAGGGACAGGTGTGATGCGTGTGTGTAATTTGGGTATCTGTGTGTGACGACTCTGAACCCTCCATCCTAAACCACGGCCTGTGGGTCTATTCCGCGTTGTGAGCCAGCTCCTACCGCACTGCACTCGGTCACACTTTAGTGCGAAGCAGTCGGGGTGATTGACGGTCCGGCACTCAATCATCTCGAGTCACCGGCGGGGAAGTCGCCTCCTTGACACTCTCATATCGCTACTACCTTGGTGACTGTCCCCGCATGAACTACAAGCATTGATTCCTCCACCAATAAACGCATCCACTCACTCGACCACTCACATACTCACCCCCCCACTCACAAACACATCCACTCACTCACGAACTCACTCACCCACTCACTCACATACTCACTCACTCACGAACTCACTCACACATCCACTCACTCATGAACTCACTCACCCACTCACACATCCACTCACTCACCAACTCACTCACCAACTCACCCACTCACTCACCCACTCACTCACTCACGAACTCACTCATCCACTCACTCACCCAGTCCACTCACTCACCCACTCACTCACCCACTCACTCACCCACTCACTCACCTGACTCACTCACCCACTCACTCACCCACTCACTCATCCAGTCAACTCACTCACCCACCCACTCACCCACTCACCCACTCACTCACTCACCCACTCACTCACCCACTCACTCACCCACTCATCCACTCACTCACCCACCCACCCACCCACTCACTCACCCACTCACCCACTCACTCACCCACTCACCCACTCCTCTCACTCACCCACTCACTCACCCACTCACTCACCCACTCACTCATGAACTCACTCACCCACTCACTCACACACTCACGAACTCACTCACCCACTCACTCACACATCCACTCACTCACCAACTCACTCACCCACTCACTCACTCACCCACGAACTTGCTCACCCACACACACACTCACGAACTCACTCACCCACTCACTCACACATCCACTCACTCACCAACTCACTCACCCACTCACTCACCCACGAACTTGCTCACCCACACACTCACACATCCACTCACACATCCACTCACCCACCCACTCACTCACATACTCACCCACATACATACCCACTCACTCACCTACTCACTCACCTACTCACCCACTCGCCCACTCACTCACTCACCCACTCATTCACTCACTCATTCACTCACCCACTCACTCACGAACTCACTCACCCACTCACTCACCCACTCACTCAACCACTCCCCACATACTCACCCACACACATACGCACTCACTCATCCACTCACTCACTCACTCACAAACGCACGAACTCATTCACCCACTCACCCACTCACTCACCCACTCACGAACTCACTCACTCACCCACTCATTCACTCACCCACTCACCCACTCACCCTCTCACGAACTCACTCACCCACTCATTCACACATCCACTCACTCACCAACTCACTCACACACTCACGAACTCATTCACCCACTCACTCACCCACTCACTCAACCACTCACCACATACTCACCCACACACATACCCACTCACTCATCCACTCACTCACTCACACACTCACGAACTCACTCACTCACCCACTCACTCACCAACTCATTTACCCACTCACTCACCCACTCACTCACTCACTCACCCAATCACTCACCCACTCACTCATTCACTCACTCATTCACTCACCCACTCACTCACCCACTCACTCACACGCTCACGAACTCACTCACCCACTCATTCACCCACTCACTCACATACTCACTCACCCACTCACTCACATACCCACTTACCCATCCACTCACCTCACCGTTGGACCTTTCCTTAGCAAAATGAAAAACAAAAGGTTGAGTCCAGGGTGAAGCGAGATCGCCTCCCTCCCGGACACCTCGACACCCACGGAGGTTACTCGCCGAGACGAAAATACTCGCGGAGACACTCAGAGACAACAGACCACCACGGCGCTCGTGCCAGGCTAGGTTCACCTCGAGGCCACGTGACGCGTCAAAGGCTCGCTGCTGCTGGCAGGAGGTCACGGGACAGACCCAGCAGGTGGCGTGGGTTGGCTGACCGAGATGATTGGCAGAGGGCACCAGCTGTAGCCACCCCCCCCCACCCCCCCAAACTCTGCCAACTCTTTTTTCGGCGCGGTCAATCGCTGTGAGCGTCGCTCCTCTGCCCTCCGCTGTTGCTGGAGGGCGACTGCCTCCAAGTCGACCAATAACCACCGCCATTCGCCACTAAGTGGCTGTGACGTGACCACGGCGCCTGTGCCAGGCTAGGTGCACTTTGAGACTATCACGTGAAGTGTCGAAGGCTCGCTGCTGCTGACAGGAGGTCTCGGGACAGACCCTGCAGGTGCCGTGGGTTGGCCGACCGAGATGACCGGTAGATGCACCACCAGCTGTGCCCCACACTGTGCCAACTCGCTGCGCTTTAACCGCCCGGCGCTCCGCTCGTTGTTGTGAGCGTCGCTCCTCTGCCCTCCGCTGTTGCTGGAGGGCGACTGCCTCCTACTGCCCAGCAGCAGTAGCAGCAGCAGCGTCCTTCACGAGCCTCAGGGGCCGATCTTGACACCGCTGGTACCGGTCATTGGCAAGTCCAAACTCAGCCTCCACCTCCCCCCCCCCTGTACCGCACGAGCTCCATCTCTTCTGGAGCCGTTGCCCGTTTAGCCCCCTCTCTATCCGGTAGTAACAACAACACAAAACTAAACAACAACAACAACAGAAGCTGCTTGGGCATGCGGTGGCTGGGCACGCGGGCCGACTGCTTGGGGGCTACCCAGAGGCTGCCACGGGGCACAGTCGCGTCCACTCGCGAAGACAAAGACAAAGGTCCCCCGTGCAGCCTTAACAGACTGCTGGGGCAAGTGCTGTTAGCGAGCACATATGAAGGCCGGCACGGCACACGAGGGGGTGGGTGGCCAGCACCACGCCCGGCCGCCTTTGTCTCCCCAGTGGCGATGGTTTTACACACCGCACGAGGTACTCATTTGAGGCCGAGTCGACCTAGGGGAGGCCCAGGACCGGTTCAGATAATCGCCACCGGTGTTGGCCGTGAGCGGGAATCGAACTCGGGTTCGCTGGGTTCGTAGCGCAGCGTAGCGCTAACCGCTACACTACCGCTTCCCACCACCACTCAAGACACAGAGAGAGAGACACAGAGAGAGACAGACACACGAGAGAGACACAGAGAAAGACACAGAGATAGAGACACAGAGAGAGACACACAGAGAGAGACACACACACGAGACAGACACCCGTGAAGACACACAGAAAGACTGACACACACAGAGAGAGAGAGACACACAAAGAGAGACATACAGAGAGAGAGACAGAGAGAGAGACACACACAGAGAGAGAGACACACACACAGAGACATACACAGAGAGAGACACACACACAGAGACATACACAGAGAGAGACACACACACAGAGAGAGACAGAGAGAGACAGACACACCGAGAGACACACACAGAGAGAGACGCACAGAGAGACACACACACAGAGACACACACACAGAGAGACACACACACAGAGAGGCACAGCAGGAAAACCTCTGACCCAAGTCAACATGGAATGTTGGGCTAACGGAGAGCCCACCCACACACCCAACGTTGACCCAACGTTGAATCAAACGCGCAGGCTTTCGCGACCAGTATCATCCACAATGCAGTTGTTTTGTTCTGTTTACGTGACAAACATTTTACTAATTGTCTGTGGTGGCGGGCACATACACACGGACACACACGGGTACACACGGGCACACACAGACACGGTGTCTCACAGAGACACGCACACACACACACGGGCACACGCACACACACTAACACACGGACACACGCACACAGTCTCACGGAGACACGCACACACACGGGTACACACGGGCACACACGCACACACACACACACGGGCACACACAGTCTCACGGAGACACGCACACACACGGACACACGGGCACACACGCGCACACACGGACACACACACACACACGGGCACACACAGTCTCACGGAGACACGCACACACACGGACACACACGCACACACGGGCACACACGCACACACACACACACACACGGGCACACACAGTCTCACGGAGACACGCACACACACGGGTACACACGCACACACACGGACACACACGCACACACACGGACACACACGCACACACACGAACACACACGCACACACACGGGCACACACGGACACACGCACACTGTGTCTCACGGAGACACGCACACACACGGACACACACACACGGACACACACGGACACGCACACACACGGTGTCTCACGGAGACACGCACATTATCTCAAATCCGCCCCAACCCAGGCGGCCTAAACACCCCCCACCCACCCCCCTTTGTCTCCCTGCTCCCCCCGTATCTCTCTCGTGTCCCACACATCTCCCTTGTCCACCCCGTGTCTGCCCGCCCCCCCGTGTCACCCCCGTGTGTCGTCCACCCCGTGTCAAACCCCCCCCCCCCGTCTCACCTCCCCGGGACTCGAGCGGAGCCTCCGGCCCTCCTCGAGTAGCCGCCCGACTCGGAGCGCCCCCTGCCGACTCACAGCCGCAGAACCTCGCCCCGGTCAAAGGCCACCCCCACCCCACCCCCACCCCCCCCCCCCGGGTTAACCAATGACAAAGCGCCGTTCGTCCCTCGGCGACTGTGACGTCACCGCGGCGCCTGTCACGTCACCACGGCGCCTGTGCCAGGCTTGGGTCACCCTCGAGGCCACGTGAAGCGTCGAAGGCTCGTTGCTGCTGCTGTTGCTGGCAGGAGGTCACGGGCAGAGGTCGCAAACGGGTACCCGATACCCGTACCCTACTCGATACCCGTACCCTACCCGATACCCGGCTACCCATACCCGGCCAGGTACGGGTAGCCGTTTGCGACCCTGGTGCGGCCGGGTACGGGTACGGGTAGGTCGTGAGTCACTGGTGAGTAACCGTTTGTCACTCATTTCGGGTAGGGTAACCATTTGCGACCCTGGTGCGGCCGGGTACGGGTAAGGAATCAAAACCCGTTTGCGACCTCTGATCACGGGACAGACCAAGCAGGTGGCGCGGGTTGGCCGACTGAGGTGACCGGGAGATGCACCACCAGCTGTGCCCCCCACTGTGCCAACTTGCTGCACTTTAGCCGCCCGGCGCTCCGCTCGTTGTTGTGAGCGTCGCTCCTCTGCCCTCCGTTGTTGCTGGAGGGCGACTGCCTCCAGCTGCTACTGGGGTAGTTGGAGGTAGTTGCCAAGTCGACCAATACCAACACCCGCCACTAAGTGGCTGTGACGTCACCACGGCACCTGTGCCAGGCGAGGTTCACCTCAAAGCCACGATAAGTGTCGAAGGCTCGCTGCTGGCAGGTCACGGGACAGACCCAGGTGGTGCCATGGGTTGGCTGACTGAGATGACTGGCAGATGCACCACCTGTGCCAACTTGCTGCACTTTATCCACCCGGCGCTCCGCTCGTTGTTGTGAGCGTCGCTCCTCCGCCCTCCATTGTTGCTGGAGGGCAACTGCCTCCAACTGCCCAGTAGCGTCCTTCACGAGCCTCCTCCACAGAGGTCGATCTTGACACCGCTGGTACCAGTCGTCGGCAAGTCCACTCAGCTCCACATCCTCACCGACCGCATCAGTCAATCTCTCCTCCAGCCCGTGTCGTCCCCGTTGAGGCAACCCACCCCCGCCTGAATGAGAAGACAGGGACTCCGCTACTTACGAACGAGTTAGGTTCCAGAGGCCTGTCCATTTGTTCCCAAGTCCAACTTTACTCCTGCCGATTCCAAACGTGCCGCACGGTATGAACACTAAACACGGGGAATGGCTCTAAAAAAGTCGTGAAATCTCCTGCAGATGCAACACCGATTCTTCACGTTCCGCAGATGCCACCTCCACCACCAATTGCGCGGCGGTTGGATGGCGGCGTCCGCACGGTGGCCTTCTCAAACTCGGCAGCTCCACCGTCCACCGTGAACGCTGACGCAGCGCGCTTGGGGCGAACGCAGCACCGTGGAGAATTAGAATGCTTTGTACTCGCTGCACGCGTTGGCGGCATTCGCGCGAGACACCACGCATTACAGCGAAAACGCGGTCCTCCTCCACGTGGGAACACTTTCCACCCAACGTGGCACTGGCGCCGTTATAACGTGGAACTGACACCGTTGAGGTCTCAGAGTGGTTGACGCCGAACTACTTTGAGCTGCGTGGCTGAGTGGTGCAGTGACACAGTACGCAGAATGATGCAGCAACACGGTGGCATCCGCTCAGTTATTAGTCTCCACCACGTCACTGGATGCCGTGCGTAGTGGTGGTGGTGGTACAGCAACCACATCGTACCTCGCCAAACTCTGTTGTTACGCGATTGTGGGGGAAATCGTTCGCTAGACGCGGCGCTTTTCAGCAATGCCCCTTGCTCCCGCGTGAAACGAGCACTTGCCCCGCGTCTTTACCTCCCTGCCGTGTCGAGCGACAACCCCGAAACCCCGAACAGCACCCCCCTGCGAGCGAGATCGCCGCATTTTTCCCGGGCGAAATATCATCGGTTGTAATCCAGTCCTAAAAGCACCGACCGCTAGCAAGGCCCTTAAAAAGCACCAGGGACCGCGACGACTCAAACCTGCGCTTAAAGGGTGACCAGCTCAGTCCAAATGTAAAAGTGTATTTTATTCGAAATTTAATTATTACATTTATACATTAGTCGAGTACACAAAAAAACCTGTGAGCTGGTGTGCCGCTGCTGCCGCTGCTGCCACAACAACAAAAAAACCCGTGGGAGGAAATTTTCGAGCAAAATCATCATCAGTAAGTCGAGGAGCTGGAGCTGCGGGTGTCGTCGTAGTGTTTGGCGTTTGGCGCCACGCTGTTGGTGGCGAAGTAGCGCACGTCGGGGTCCGCGTCGCTCTGCAGCAGCAGCACCGCCTGCTCCGCCGCCTGCAGCGCGGCGCCAGCGGGAACGTCTGCGTGGCGGTGGGGGAGGAGAGGGGGTCACGGCGTGAGCCCGAGCGTTGTTCCGCCGGCAGTGAAGCAGGAGGTCAATTAGGAACCGACTCTTCTTGGTTCTTTCGGTAAAGTCACGTAGAATGGAAGTAATAAAATAATACAAATAAAACATCATAAAATAATTCTCACGACGTTTTGGCCACAACGCAAGTAGCCGTTTCAGGTGGAGAACAGGGCTGTCGAGGAGACAGCGTCTGACAGAGCTGTTCTCCACCTGAGGACGGCTGCTTGCGTTGTGGCCGAAACGTCGTGAGAATTATTTTATTATGTTTTATTTTTATTATTTTATTACTTCCATTCTACGTGACTTTACCGAAAGAACCAAGAAGATGAATCCCTGCAGTCACGAAAGCTTGAAATCGAAATTTAATTGTTTTATTTTTATTCTTTATTAAGTTTTATTTTTATTGTTTTATTTTTATTTTATTAAGTTTTATTTTAACTATTTTATTAAGTTTTATTTTTATTATTTTATTAAGTTTTATTTTTATTATTTTATTATGTTTTATTTTTATTATTTTATTATTTCCCTTCTACGTGACTTTACCGAAAGAACCAAGAAGATGAATCCCTGCAGTCACGAAAGCTTTACATTGAAATTTAGGAACCAACTTTTATTTATTATCCACTGGCTGTACTACACGACTTCGCCCGGGACCTGGATTCACTAGGGGCGGCCGCCTTTGTGTCCCAAGTGGCGATGTTCACACACCACAGCAGTTGCGCGTTTGAGGCTGAGTCGAACTAGGGGAGGCCCAGGACCGGTTCAGATAATCGTCACCGGTATTGGCCGTGAGCGGGAATCTAACTCGGGTCGCCGAGTTCGTAGCGCAGCGCGCTAACCGCTACACTACAATGCGTTACGCTTCCACATGCGCGGGTCACGTGACAGATGTGACGTCACAGCTCACTTGCCGTGCAAAATATCAATGCATTATTGAGCTCCCCCCCCCACCCCAAAAAAAACAAAAGTGTATTTTTATAATTTGTGCATGGTGTACAGTCTGGAAAGTACCCACATGGCAAATTTCAAGTTTGTTGCATGTCGGGAAGTTCGCTAAACATTTTGAACAGACACACATATTCACAACTTTGCTTTTTATATAGATGGAGATAAGAGGTTTCTTGGGTTACTGTATCGTCTCGCGTGTGCAAACGTTTAAACGTGCGGCATCAGCGATGACGGCATGGGCGGTGCGGTGGTGACGGCGACGGTGATGGCGGCGGTGGTGACGGTGGCGGTGGTGACGGCGGCGGTGGTGACGACGGCGGTGATGATCGTGGCGGTGATGATGGCGGTGGTGATGATGGCGATGATCGTGGCGGTGATGATGCTGGTGGTGACGGCGGTGGTGGCGACGGCGGTGATGATCGCGGCGTTGGTGATGATCGTGGCGTTGGTGATGATCGTGGCGGTGATGATGGCGGTGGTGGCGACGGCGGTGATGATGGCGGTGGTGATGATCGCGGCGTTGGTGATAATCGCGGCGGTGATGATGGCGGTGGTGACGGCGGCGGTGACCTGACCTTTCTCCAGCACGGCTTGCCGCAGCGTCTTGGCGAGGAGGATGCGCACGTTGGGCACCGGGTCGGGCACCAACTCCAGCAGACGCGGCAGCAGCAACAGCCCAAAGTCTTCCCACGCCAGGCAGTCCTCCTCCGCTATGGCCTGCGCACGAGCGGTAACGCACGGACACACGGTGACCCACCTATACCCCCGCCCACCACATCGGACCAGTCGTTCAAGGGGGAGGGTGGTATTGACAAAAACCTCGGGGCGGATGCTGGGGGGACGCTGTCAGGGGCACACATCTTAGTGTGCCGGGTGGCATCAACGGCTTTGTCCACGATGATATTTTGATCTCGATCTTGTGCACGGGGGAGGGGGGTGAAACTTGGTCCCCCGCAAAAAAACCAAGTGTCCGCAAAGCGGCGGGATTTTTTTTCGAGCGTTGACTACTTAAGCGGATGGAATGAGTAAGTTGATTGTGGGGCCATCTGTTGGGGAGACGATGCAATAAGAACTACCGAAATTGGGACCGTAAAATTGTTCCAGTGAAGTCGGTAAGCGGAATGCTATCGTATAGCAAGGTATATTTTCAAACTGCAAATTTGGACCGTGACGAGTCGTCACACGCAGGCCTCCTGCTCCTTCTCCGAATGACGTCCCGGGAAACTTGAACGTCCACCGTCATCGAAGCGGACGGCGCCTTGTGATTTTACGGTGAATAACACCAACAACCGCCGGTGATGTCACCACGGCGTTTGTGCCATGCTAGGTGCACTTGGAGTGCCACGTGGAGTATTGAAGGCTCGCTGGCAGGTCGTCACAGAACAGACCCAGCAGGTGCCATGGGTCGACCTACTTAGATGACCGGCAGATGCACCGACCGTGCTCCCCACTGTGCCAACTTGCTGCATTTTAGCCGCCCGGCGCTCCGCTCGTGGTTGCTAGCGTGGCTCCTCTGCCCTCCGTTGTTGATGGAGGGCGACTGCCTCCAACTCACCAGCAGCATCCTTCACAAACCTCCTCCACAGAGGCCGATCTTGAAACGACTGGTTACCGATTCATCGGCAAGTCCAATCCACTCCATCTGCGCTCCTGACCCTTCATCCCGGTTGGCTACGTACGGCGCGCGAAAGAAGTTCAACCGACAAACATCCGTGCACACAATTTGCCCGCAGAAACCCAACTCCCTCTCACCTGGCAGATGTAAGCGAAGGTCTGCCTGCTGTTCCACTTGGAACCCGCCAGGAACTTGCTGATGATCTGCTCCAGGAACAGCTGAAGGAGTTCCCGTGAAGACGACAGCTTGCGGACAATCTCGCTGACCTGCGGGCAAGGAGGGCACGGACACGACGCAGGCCGTCGGTGAGAGCGCTCGCGGGCGTGGGAGCGGTGTGGGGGGGGGTCAGCAATCGCACGCGAGAATTACAACCCGGCTTTGTCCTAATGTGAGATACGACCGGGAATCGAACCTCGGTTCGCTGGGATTGCAGCCGAGTGCGCTGATCATAATCATCGTCGTTGCGCCACTAATCCACGGAGGACCTTGCACAGAGCGAGCGCGATTCTAATAAAAATGTATCCGGTCAGGGAATTTCGATGTAAAGCTTTCGTGACTGCAGAGATTCATCTTCTTGGTTCTTTCGGTAAAGTCACGTAGAAGGGAAGTAATAAAATAATAAAAATAAAATATAATAAAATAATTCGCACGACGTTTCGGCCACAACGCAAGCAGCCGTCTTCAGGTGAAGAACAGGTCTGTCGAGAAGACGTTTCGGCCAGACCTGTTCTTCACCTGAGGATGGCTGCTTGCGTTGTGGCCGAAACGTCATGTGAATTATTTTATTAGATTACATTTTAATTATTTTATTATTTCCATTCTACGTGACTTTACCGAAAGAACCAAGAAGACGGTCAGGGAATCTTTCGCTCGCAGCTCAGAGATTAGAGTTTCGATGTCGTGCGTGCAGGGACTGGGACGGAGTGGGGGTGCAGCGGTTAGCGCATATCGCGCGATGAACCCAGGGGGGGGGGGACCTGAGTCCACGGGTAGCGTCAGCGGCGAGGGATATTCCAACAGTTCCTGGGCGTTTCCTCCTCTCGCCGAGCTGCGTGGCGAGGTACGATCAAACAAAGCCCCCACCGACACGGCACGAACGGGCACCCCAAGACCCAGCAGTGGACCGACATGGGGTTCTGCGAATTGTGACTGGAGACCGGCCGCGCCCGAGAACACGCGCATTTTAATTGACGCCAGCGGTTGCTACAGCGGAGCAACGACTCACCAGTTTGTAGGAAATCCATCGGACTTCTGCAACTTTGTCCGAGCAGAGTTGAAAGGCAATGGGGCAGAGGTGGTCAAACACGTCCTTGGAGGCATAGAGCCCGAGGAGCAGAATCAACTGCCTGTGACGCACACCGCACACACACACACCACACACACACCACACACACCCCACACACACCACACACACCCCACACCGCACACACACACACACCACACACACACCACACACACCGCGCACACACACACACCACACACACCCCACACACACACCACACACACCCCACACACACACACCACACACACACACACCGCACACACCACACCACGCGCACACACACACCACACACACCGCACACACCGCACACACACCGCACACACACCGCACACACACGCGTTAAAGCAATCAAACGCATGCGTCAACTACTGCATCGCATCATCTCTCACCATTTTACGCAGACGCGCACGCGCGCTTTGCGTGTGCCAGGTGGTCGCGCTTACACGCGCGTGTGCTCATCGCACAAAAACGGTTTCACGCATTGGGCATTATAAAAGTAGCGCCTCCAGTGGCTTGCAGGTGGTCGTCACGCAACATACGAACCCAGGCTCAGCCCTGCTTAGAGCGTCCGAGACGTACGTTTGCATGTACGTGGAACGTCTTTCGCACCGCACGTAGCCAAGCGTGCTAATCGGAGGTGCGGGGGGGGGCAACAAACTAAACACAAAAAGAAGTTGTAAAATAATTAGTTTTCTATTTATGGCCACAACAGTGCTCCCCACTGTGGTGGCCAAGACGGCGTCGATGGTGGTGGTGGGGGGGTGATCGTGGCAGCAGAGATGATGGTGGTGGTGGTGGGGGGGCGATCGTGGTAGTAGAGGTGGTGGTGGGGGGGGGGGGCGATCGTGGTAGTAGAGGTGGTGGTGGGGGGGGGCGATCGTGGTAGTAGAGGTGGTGGTGGGGGGGGGGGGCATTCGTGGTAGGAGAGATGGTGGTGGTGGTGGTGGTGGGGGGGTGATCGTGGTAGTAGAGATGGTGGTGGTGGGGGGGTGATCGTGGCAGTGAAGATGGTGGTGGGGGTGGTCGTGGCAGCAGAGATGATGGTGGTGGTGGGGGGGGGGGTGATCGTGGCAGCAGAGATGGTGGTGGCGGTGGGGGGTGATCGTGGTAGTAGAGATGGTGGTGGTGGTGGTGGGTGGGTGATCGTGGTAGTAGAGATGGTGGTGGTGGTGGGGGGTGATTGTGGCAGCAGAGATGGTGGTGGCGGTGGGGGGTGATCGTGGCAGTAGAGATGATGGTGGTGGGGGGGTGATCGTGGCAGTGAGGATGGTGGTGGTGGCGGAGATGCCACCAGAACCACGCGTTTAGAGTATTTTGTCTGCTGCTATAAATGTCCACGTGATGGCGAGCCAGTTCGTTGAGCCATCATTTGTGGCCAGGCCGCTTCTGAAAAAAAAGACCTACGTACAAAAAGCAGTTCTAAAGAAATGAGTTTTAAGTCTCGACTCAAAAGCGCAAAGAGATGTGTAGAGATCAGGGTGCATTGAGGGTGACAATGCAAGGCACGTGGTGGCCACACATCGCAAGGTCCTCCAACACCGCCTCCCAATCGCGGCCGTTGGGCACCTCCGATTAGCACGGTTGGCTACGTATGGTGCGAAAGAAGTTCAACGTACATACATACATACACAGGAATTGTTCATGAGTATAGGGTGGTGGGGAGGTGGTGGGGGAGGGTGTGTGTGGAAATGGGGGGGGGGGTGTTAAATGAGATCACAGTGGGGGGCGGGGAGAAGGCACGCACTCTGCAAGGTCGTAGCGAAATCGCCAATTCCTCGTGTTGTCCGTGACGAGGAACTCCTGCAGGTGGTAGAGGTACTCCCGCCGCTTCTGCTGGGGCAGCAACTGCACGGGGGACAGGACAAAGAACCTCCGTGTAGCCTTAACAGACTGTTGGGGCAAGTGCTGTTAGCGAGTAGCATCTATGAAGGTGCCGGCACGGCACACGAGGGGGTGGCTGGCCGGCATCACGCCCGGCCGCCTTTGTCTCCCCAGTGGCGATGTTTACTACACACCGCACCAGGTACTCGTTTGAGGCCAAGTCGACAATCGCCACTGGTGTTGGCCGTGAGCGGGAATTGAACCCGGGTTGCCAGCTTCGTAGCGCTGCGCACTAACCGCAACACTGCCTCTTCTTGGTTCTTTCGGTAAAGTCATGTAGAAGGGAAATAATAAATAATAAATAAAACACTATAAAATAAAATAATTCTCACGAAGTTTCGGCCACAACGCAAGCAGCCGTCCTCAGGTGAAGAACAGGGCTGTCGGAAAGACTTCGGACGCTGTCTTTCCGAAAGACCTGTTCTTCACCTGAGGATGGCTGCTTGCGTTGTGGCCGAAACGTCGTGAGAATTGTATTTTATTATGTTTTATTTTTATTAGTTTATTATTTCCCTTCTACGTGACTTTACCGAAAGAACCAAGAAGATGAATCCCTGCAGTCACGAAAGCTTTAAATCGAAACGCAACACTACCATACAGACACGATGCTCGGCACCACCACCAGCATCACTCACGGGCTACGCACAACCAATAAACCCGGCGGGTGGTGGAGCCGATGGTCCCGTACACGACCACTTCATCTCACGTTCCACAAATGCAGCCATGAACAATTGGATGTATTTGCGGTACACCGGTGCAGCATAACATAGCGGTGCTCATAAAACAGTCTGGACGATGTCGATGTTGCCCTTGAGTGGCGCTGCAGACTCTCCATCAGAACAAGTCGCACTCACAATCAGCAGCTGCTTTCCCATAATCAACGTTTTTGGGTTTAGATCGCGTTATTTATAAATGTGTCGTAACCCTCCACCACCCGACACGGCCAATCAGTAAAAAAGTGTCACGTTGACAAAAGACAAATAGTTCACTGCTTTAGCCCACCGGTGTTGTGTTGAAGCGTGAAACCACAACATTTATAATTTGAGTACGACGTTTCGCTGGCAATTGCATCCAGCATCATCGGGCAATTCGCCAGAATGGTTCTGACACTTTTTTACTGATTGGCCGTGTCGGGTGGTGGAGAGTTACGACACATTTATAAATAACGCGATCTAAATCCAAAAACGTTGATTATGAATAATATTGGTCGCGAAAGCCTCCCACGTGTTAAACTGAGCTGCTTTCCCGTCGGAACGCGCGGCGGCGGCGGCGACACCACGAGCCGTAATATTTGGATGCCACCGTCCGCCGAGAAATGATTCCCGGAATTGAATCGAGCCACCGTCCGACCGAGTCTCGGGCACGAGGAGTCAAATCTGCCTTGGGGACACGGAGCAGCCAATCTGTCGTCAGGCTGGCTGCTGCTGCACGGCGACAGACTCAAGCATCGTGTTCAGCCGCTCGTTTCAACGTTCGTCGTCCGACTGCTTCGACGTCACGAGAAACTGATTTTGACGGACACCCCGGGGCTTGCGAACCGGGGGAAAGTAAATAATTATTGCGGGTTTTTTTAAATTTCCCTCCCTCCCTCCCCGCCCACCGGTTGTACCGCCAACACGTTCAACCACCCGTACCGTCGAAGCGTGTGAAAAATCCGCAATCGTCGAGACCGCCCACCACCCCCCGCCCTCACCCCAAGCTCGACGTGAACGCGAGAGGGTTTCCTTCGCGTGACTTTGCCGTGCTTTTTAAAGGTTGCGCAAGGCCCCGCTCGTTGAACCCCGCGCTACGTGGCCACTTCTGCCGTTGCGCAACTCGGGTGCTGGTCGTTGGGCGAGTCGTTAAACTCAAAGCGGTGGGGGGGGGAGGCGGGCGAGGTGGGGTGAGGGCAAAGTCTCCGTGCGGTAACGTGGCTGGGAGGCCTGGGCCAGGCAGCCTGCCCAGACATTCTCGTACAAGGTGGTCCCGTTTAGAGACAAACCACACACCGGCAGTAAATACTATTTACTCAAAATAGTAAATGTTGTATTGCAGCTATATTTTTAGCCTGGCCGGGTGGCTCAGCGATAGAGCGAGCTGCTCGCACTCGGAAGGTTGCGGTGACATCGCCACGGCGCTGGTGTCAGGCCACGTACACTTCGAGGCCACGTACTCTTTGAGGCCACATACACTGTGAGGCCACGTACACTGTGAGGCCACGTACACTTTGAGGCCACGTACACTTTGAGGCCACGTACACTGTGAGGCCACGTACACTTTGAGGCCACGTACTCTTTGAGGCCACATACACTGTGAGGCCACGTACACTGTGAGGCCACGTACACTTTGAGGCCACGTACACTGTGAGGCCACGTACACTGTGAGGCCACGTACACTGTGAGGCCACGTACACTGTGAGGCCACGTACACTTTGAGGCCACGTACACTGTGAGGCCACGTACACTGTGAGGCCACGTACACTTTGAGGCCACGTACACTTTGAGGCCACGTACACTTTGAGGCTACGTACACTTTGAGGCTACGTACACTTTGAGGCTACGTACACTTTGAGGCTACGTACACTGTGAGGCCACGTACACTGTGAGGCTACGTACACTGTGAGGCCACGTACACTGTGAGGCCACGTACACTTTGAGGCCACGAACACTTTGAGGCCACGTACACTTTGAGGCTACGTACACTTTGAGGCCACGTACTCTTTGAGGCCACGTACACTGTGAGGCCACGTACACTGTGAGGCCACGTACACTTTGAGGCCACGTACACTGTGAGGCCACGTACACTGTGAGGCCACGTACACTTTGAGGCCACGTACACTGTGAGGCCACGTACACTGTGAGGCCACGTACACTTTGAGGCCACGTACACTGTGAGGCCACGTACACTTTGAGGCCACGTACACTTTGAGGCCACGTACACTGTGAGGCCACGTACACTTTGAGGCTACGTACACTTTGAGGCTACGTACACTTTGAGGCTACGTACACTTTGAGGCTACGTACACTGTGAGGCCACGTACACTGTGAGGCCACGTACACTTTGAGGCCACGTACACTTTGAGGCTACGTACACTGTGAGGCCACGTACACTTTGAGGCTACGTACACTGTGAGGCTACGTACACTTTGAGGCTACGTACACTTTGAGGCTACGTACACTTTGAGGCTACGTACACTGTGAGGCCACGTACACTTTGAGGCTACGTACACTGTGAGGCCACGTACACTGTGAGGTTACGTACACTTTGAGGCTACGTACACTGTGAGGCCACGTACACTTTGAGGCTACGTACACTTTGAGGCCACGTACACTGTGAGGCCACGTACACTGTGAGGCCACGTACACTGTGAGGCTACGTACACTTTGAGGCTACGTACACTTTGAGGCCACGTACACTTTGAGGCCACGTACACTGTGAGGCTACGTACACTGTGAGGCCACGTACACTGTGAGGCCACGTACACTGTGAGGCTACGTACACTTTGAGGCTACGTACACTTTGAGGCTACGTACACTTTGAGGCCACGTACACTGTGAGGCCACGTACACTGTGAGGCTACGTACACTTTGAGGCTACGTACACTTTGAGGCTACGTACACTTTGAGGCCACGTACACTGTGAGGCCACGTACACTGTGAGGCCACGTACACTGTGAGGCCACGTACACTGTGAGGCCACCTACACTTTGAGGCCACGTACACTGTGAGGCCACGTACACTGTGAGGCCACGTACACTGTGAGGCCACGTGCACTTTGAGGTTACGTACACTGTGAGGCCACCTACACTTTGAGGCCACGTACACTGTGAGGCCACGTACACTGTGAGGCCACGTACACTGTGAGGCCACGTGCACCTTGAGGCCACGTACACTGTGAGGCCACCTACACTTTGAGGCCACGTACACTGTGAGGCCACGTACACTTTGAGGCCACGTGCACTTTGAGGTTACGTACACCTTGAGGCCACGTACACTTTGAGGTTACGTACACCTTGAGGCCACGTACACTTTGAGGCCACGTACACTTTGAGGTTACGTACACTTTGAGGTTACGTACACTGTGAGGCCACGTGCACTTTGAGGTTACGTACACTTTGAGGCCACGTACACTGTGAGGCCACGTGCACTTTGAGGTTACGTACACTTTGAGGCCACCTACACTTTGAGGTTACGTACACCTTGAGGCCACGTACACTTTGAGGCCACGTACACTTTGAGGCCACGTACACTTTGAGGTTACGTACACCTTGAGGCCACGTACACTTTGAGGCCACCTACACTTTGAGGCCACGTACACTTTGAGGCCACGTACACTGTGAGGCCACGTACACTGTGAGGCCACGTGCACTTTGAGGTTACGTACACCTTGAGGCCACGTACACTTTGAGGCCACCTACACTTTGAGGTTACGTACACCTTGAGGCCACGTACACTTTGAGGTTACGTACACTTTGAGGCCACCTACACTTTGAGGTTACGTACACTTTGAGGCCACCTACACTTTGAGGCCACGTACACTGTGAGGACACGTACACTTCGAGGCCACGTGTCGAAGACTCGCTACCGGCAGGTCACGGGACAGACCCAGGCGCCACGGGGGATGACCGACCGAGATTGACCGGCAACACCCCACGCACACGCGGCCACGCCTGCCCGCCCTGCTGACCTTGAGGAAGTCGTGCAGGTGCTTGAGCACGCCCACGCGCACGTCGTCCAGGTCCTTGAGGAAGCCGTTGAACACGGGGACGAGGTCCACGGCGGTGAGGCGGTCTCCCAGGATGGCGGCCAGCTCGTGGATGGAGAAGGCGAGCGTTCGCCGCACCTTCCACTGTGGGGGGTGCCGGGCGTGGGGAGCGGTGGTGTAGCGGTTAGCGCTACGCTGCGCTATGAACCCAGCGACACGAGTTCGATTCCCGCTCAGGGCCAACATCGGTGACGATTATCTGAACCGGTCCCGGGCCTCCCCTACGTCGACTCGGCCTCAAATGAGTATCTGGTGTGGTGTGTAAACATCGCCACTAGGGAGACAAAGGCGGTCGGGCGTGGTGCTGGCCACCCACCCCCTCATGTGCCGTTCCGGCCTTCATAGGTGCTCGCTAACAGCACTTGTTTGTGCCGGCGGCCACACACCGGTGTTCATTCGGCGTTTTACTTTCTTGCTTTTGCTTTTTTTACTTTTGGTCAAAGTTGTTTTCCCAAAGATTTCACCCTGCAAGTGTCATTGTGTAACTTTTAACCCTTCACCCGTGTGTCGATTAAAAAAAAACATGCCTGTTCATTGAGGGACTGTGCGATTTCTTGGACAAAGTGCAACCACCAACAGAGCGCTAGAAAGCGGTAGGCAGAAGAAAGCAGTGGCCAACCGAGCGTCGAGTAAGAGAGAGACCAGAGGTCGCAAACGGGTACCCGATACCCGTACCCTACCCGATACCTGGCTACCCTGGTGCGGCCGGGTACGGGTAGGCCGTGAGTCACTGGTGAGTAACCGTTTGTCACTCATTTCCCAACGTCTTGTCTCTTCTCACAATTCAAGTTCCTAAAATCAACCCACCCGTGCCTGCAACATGGCTTCATCCCAGAGGTCGCAATCGGGGACCCGATAACCGTACCCTACCCGTACCCGGCCAGGTACGGGTAGGGTACGGGTAGGGCCGGGTACGGGTAGCCGTTTGCGACCCTGGTGCGGCCGGGTACGGGTAGGCCGTGAGTCACTGGTGAGTAACCGTTTGTCACTCATTTCGGATAGGATACAGGTAGGGAACGGGTACCCATACCCGGCCGGGTACGGGTACCCATTTGCGACCCTGGTGCGGCCGGGTACGGGTAGGCCGTGAGTCACTGGTGAGTAACCGTTTGTCACTCATTTCGGGTAGGGTACGGGTAGGGAACGGGTACCCATACCCGGCCGGGTACGGGTACCCATTTGCGACCCTGGTGCGGCCGGGTACGGGTACGGGGGGTAAGGAATCAAAACTCGTTTGCGACCTCTGGGAAAGACTCACCTGCATGTCCGCTGCCAGCGAGTTGTAGGTGCTCTTGAGGCAGTGCCAGTGCTGGGTGCCAAGGGTGAGCGCCACCCCCGGGAGGCTGTACGCGCAGTGCCTCGCGATCTCCGTGTCCACCGTTTGAGCCCGGAACGGGTCGGTCATGGACAGGAACTGGTCCAGCAGCTCCTGCGGTATCACGTCCTACGGAGAAACAGCGTCGTCGCAACTCGCCATCACCACCACCACCACCACACCACCACTAACATGATCAGCAGCACCGCCGGCGCGATCGTCGGCGATAAGGCAGGTAGGCGTTACGATGCTCAAACACCAAATCATTGACCACACTAGCTTGTGGTAAAACATGCAAACAGACATCCTTTGATAGTGCATGCTTCCTTGAAACCGATTGGCCCACACCAGAGACAGCATCTTGTAACTACCACGACAATTGTCACCAATGCCATCAACACCCACCCCCCCCCCACCACCCCATCATCACCACAACCATCATCCCAACCGTCGCTGTCACCACCACCCACTGAGTGTGGTAACCGTGGCGATGGGTGTGGGGGGAGGTCACCTGGTTGTGAAGCTGCTCCTCTGGCTGCGGTGTGAGCACCATGCTCCTGTCGGGAGAGTCCATGGTGCCAACGCGCTCCTCCTCCTCCTCCTGCGCGAACAAGTGGTTCACTGTGCAACTTGCTAACACTTGATACAGCTGTCACTTGATACAGCTATCACTTGATACAGCAATCACTTGATACAGCTGTCACTTGGTACAGCTGTCACTTGGTACAGCTATCACTTGATACAGCTATCACTTGATACAGCTATCACTTGATACAGCTATCACTTGATACAGCTATCACTTGATACAGCTATCACTTGATACAGCTATCACTTGATACAGCTATCACTTGATACAGCTAACACTTGATACAGCTAACACTTGATACAGCTGTCACTTGGTACAGCTGTCACTTGATACAGCTATCACTTGATACAGCTATCACTTGATACAGCTAACACTTGATACAGCTGTCACTTGGTACAGCTGTCACTTGGTACAGCTGTCACTTGATACAGCTATCACTTGATACAGCAATCACTTGATACAGCTAACACTTGATACAGCTGTCACTTGGTACAGCTGTCACTTGGTACAGCTGTCACTTGATACAGCTATCACTTGATACAGCTATCACTTGATACAGCTATCACTTGATACAGCTATCACTTGATACAGCTATCACTTGATACAGCTATCACTTGGTACAGCTGTCACTTGGTACAGCTATCACTTGATACAGCAATCACTTGATACAGCTGTCACTTGATACAGCTATCACTTGATACAGCTATCACTTGATACAGCTATCACTTGATACAGCTATCACTTGATACAGCTATCACTTGATACAGCTATCACTTGATACAGCTATCACTTGATACAGCTATCACTTGATACAGCTATCACTTGATACAGCTATCACTTGATACAGCTATCACTTGATACAGCTATCACTTGATACAGCTATCACTTGATACAGCTATCACTTGATACAGCTATCACTTGATACAGCTATCACTTGATACAGCTATCACTTGGTACAGCTGTCACTTGGTACAGCTATCACTTGATACAGCAATCACTTGATACAGCTGTCACTTGATACAGCTATCACTTGATACAGCTATCACTTGATACAGCTAACACTTGATACAACTATCACTTGATACAGCTATCACTTGATACAGCAATCACTTGATACAGCTGTCACTTGGTACAGCTATCACTTGATACAGCTATCACTTGTTACAGCTATCACTTGTTACAGCTATCACTTGTTACAGCTATCACTTGATACAGCTATCACTTGTTACAGCTATCACTTGATACAGCTATCACTTGATACAGCTATCACTTGATACAGCTATCACTTGATACAGCTATCACTTGATACATCTATCGTGCTGTGACGGTTCCACCTGAAGACGGAAGCTTGTGTTGCCTCCGAAACGTCGTGATTTTTATTTTATTTTACTTTTATTAATTGAAATTTTTTACCTACGTGACTTTACCGAAAAAACCTAAGAATATGAATCCTTGCAGTCACGAAAGCTTCAAATCTAGAATCAACTTGCTATTGGCGGCAGCAGCAGCAGCAGCAACAAGGAACTAAAACCATGCCCACGCTCGGGGCGGCGAGACGTGGACCCTGCGACAGAGCGCTCGCCGCTTTCTGCCGAGGTTTGCGGCTCGACTCTTTTGCACGCACGAATCACGCGACACCAAGCGCCGTCCCTCTTCACAGCGGCACTTTAAAGATTCGCCCGACGTCGTTACGAATGAGAAGGCCATCGTGCTCCGGGCATCGTGGTCCAAATTTACTAAATTCGAAGAAAAAAATAGCCCCCCTTCTGGTATGCCGAACTTCTTTCGCACCGTACGGAGCCAACCGTGCTAACTGGAGGTGCGGGGCACACTTATGCCGCTTGCAGGCCAGGTGCCCGGGTAACGCTGAGATGGCTGCCACGGGGGGAGGGGGGGGGGGCGGGGGGCGTGCTCTTTAAATGTTTGAGATGAGATTTGATGCACGCCGGGGCACCGAGTTGCCGAAGCATTTAATGCGAGGATTAATATTATTATTCTGAACCAGTTCCCAACTTCAGTTTGACACGTAGGCTTTCGCGACCAATATCATCTATGTTCTGTAAACGTGACAAACCTTACTAATTGGCCGTGTCGGGTGGTGGCGGGTTTAATGACACATTTATATATTTACGCGATCCAACCCAGAAAAAAAACGTGCATTATGGAATTTCCAACTTGTGCTTGTCCTCGCAAGGAGTCAACCCCTCCGTGCGATTACATCTGCGTACCAGCGGCCACAACGTATGGATCACAGAAACCAGGACGGTGACGACGAGGACGGAATAAGAAAAAAACCGCCGGCTCGGCAGACTTGGGAGAGATCCAACGAGACTGGGCGAGCGCTCAGGACGATTTCAGTCGTCGGTAACGAGAAGGGGGGGGGGACAGAGGTGGGGGGGGGGGGGGGGCGACGTCGCCTTCCCCTGACGCGACGCACACGAGAGAGGCGCTCGAGGCACGGCTCACCGTGCTGTTGAGGAAGCTCGACTTGACGGAGCCGTCCAGGGAGAGGCAAACGTTGTCGAAGTGCAATCCCTCGTATTCGCCGAGATCGGACGGGTCCGAATCGTGGGAGGCGGCCTCCAGCATGCACGCAGCCACGTCCACAGCCTCTGTAAACAAAGAGCGCAGAGAGAGCCGCGTTCACAACACGACTCTCCGCCACCAGCTGTTCAAAGACGAAGATCTTGCCCCCCCCCCCTCCCTCCGGACAGCCTTTAACAGACTGTTGGTGCAAGTGCTATACTCTTAGTTCTTTCGGTAAAGTCACTTTACCGAAAGAACTAAGAGTATGAATCCTTGCAGTCACGAAAGGTGCAAGTGCTGTTCGCGAGCAAATATGAAGAGAGGATTGAATTTCGATTTAAAGCTTTCGTGACTGCAGGGATTCATCTTCTTGGTTCTTTCGGTAAAGTCACGTAGAAGGGAAGTAATAAAATAATAAAAATAAAACATGATAAAACAATTCTCACGACGTTTCGGCCACAACGCAAGCAGCCGTCCTCAGGTGAAAACCAGGTCCGTCGAGGCGACAGAGTCTGAATGAAACAGCACACGAGCTTGGAGCATATATATAAGCTGGGCGCATTGACAAAGGAATTTGCATATCAAAAGGAATTTAGCATATGTATGGGAAATGCAGGAATGTGATTAGTACTGCATATGCATGTGCATTATGCAGGATTAACAGCATCAAAGGGAGCTGCAGTTACTGCTGCTGCTGCAGTTGCTGCTGCTGCAGTTTCTGCTGCTGCTGCAGTTGCTGCTGCTGCTGCAGTTGCTGCTGCTGCTGTTACTGCTGCTGCTGCACTTGCTGCTGCTGCTGCTGCAGTTGCTGCCTTATCCATTTTAATATAACACTATGTATTATTCTACCCATCCTAATGTGTATCACACTGCTATATGTTTACTATACAATTACGACACCATACATTACTCTGCACACTGCACCATGCCAGTGAGTGGAACGCGGTCTGAAAGTCACCGTAAACGTGAACACAATCAGTTAAGATCCCTGGCGTCTACAAACTAAGTTGCCTCTGTGGTAGCAGTTACATTGGAGAAACCAAACGACATGTCTCGGACCGCATCCGTGAACATAAGGCAGACCTGAAACACGGTAGGACAAACACCTCAGCCGTGGCAGATCACTGTTACAACTCAGTGGGCTCACATGATATTGACTTCTCCAAGACAGAGGTTCTCTGCAAGCCATCTGGCTATCATGAGAGATTCGTTCATGAGGCGATCCACATATACAAACACAGAGACAATTTCAACCGAGAAGATGGATTCTGGCTTAGCAATCATTGGAAGGACGTAATAAACCATTTCGGATCTTAACTGATTGTGTTCACGTTTACGGTGACTTTCAGACCGCGTTCCACTCACTGGCATGGTGCAGTGTGCAGAGTAATGTATGGTGTCGTAATTGTATAGTAAACATATAGCAGTGTGATACACATTAGGGTGGGTATAATAATACATAGTGTTATATTAAAATGGATAAGGCAGCAACTGCAGCAGCAAGTGCAGCAGCAGCAGTAACAGCAGCAGCAGCAACTGCAGCAGCAACTGCAGCAGCAGCAGAAACTGCAGCAGCAGCAGAAACTGCAGCAGCAGCAGCAACTGCAGCAGCAGCAGTAACTGCAGCTCCCTTTGATGCTGTTAATCCTGCATAATGCACATGCATATGCAGTACTAATCACATTCCTGCATTTCCCATAAATATGCTAAATTCCTTTTGATATGCAAATTCCTTTGTCAATGCGCCCAGCTTATATATATGCTCCAAGCTCGTGTGCTGTTTCATTCAGACTCTGTCGCCTCGACGGACCTGGTTTTCACCTGAGGACGGCTGCTTGCGTTGTGGCCGAAACGTCGTGAGAATTGTTTTATTATGTTTTATTTTTATTATTTTATTACTTCCCTTCTACGTGACTTTACCGAAAGAACCAAGAAGAAGAGAGGATTGGTCGGGGGGGGACACACACCTCTGTCGCGGATCTTCCCAACATCCGTTGCATCCTCCGCCGTTGGCGCGCTCGCACCATCGGCCTCGTCTCTTTTCGCCGGCTCTTCGCGCGGCGCGTGGCACTCGGGGGGGTGTGGCAGCGGCAGCAGCAGCTCCCCGTCGATCGCCACATCCGACAGCGGCGTTCTCCAGAAGAGGAACGTGCCGTACTTGTCGCTCGCTCCGGCGTCGCCACCGCCCGGCCCGGCCATCTCGGCGTCGCGCCGGGTGGAGTTGCGGTCGCCCGACTGCTCTCGTGGCCGCTCGCTCGCCGCGCTCTCCGCGGAACGACAGCTTTCAGCAGCCTCCTCGTCGTCGTCGTCGTGCGAGCGCGCGGGCTCCGACGCGACATGGGTGTCGCGCTCGGTGGGAATCGAGGGCGGCTGTGGCTGACGAGAGTCGGCCGAGAGAGACTCCGAGCCTCCGCTCTCGCAGGCGGCGAGCCTCGGTGGCGGCGGCGGCGGCGCGGGGGCCCCACCGGCGTCGCTGCCGGGATTGGGGCAGCCGTCGGCCGGCTCCTCCTGCCCGTCGGCGGCGCTGCGGCGACACAAACGGCGTGGAACCTCCTGGCGAGTCGGGGTCACAAGTCTGGGACGCTCTTGCTTCCGATATCAGGAAGCCACTGGGAGCTTTTAAATCACCGTCTAGATTGAAAACTCATTCTGGAGAACTACCTTGTGTTTAGTTTGTCGTCCTTGCCGCGCACGTCCGATTAGCACGGTTGGCTACGTACGGTGCGAAACAAGTTCAACATACGTACACGTGTGGTGCCTCCCAGCCGCGCCCCCCCCCCCCCCCTTCTTCCTCCCTGCGCTGAGAGACATTTATGCCGGGGGGGGTAAGGAAAGTTTTTTTCCCCCTAAGGATTTTCAAATACCTCGACAAAATGATCATCTGTAAAGTGACAAGCGCGTCGACCAGGTGTGAAGGAGACCCTCGCAGTGACAGAAGCGACCGAGTGTGGTGCCAAAACTAGAAACGCCTGTTGGTGACACCAGGTCGAAAAAACTGCCCTCTAGAACCAAATTAATGCGGCAAAGGTCCTTGCAGCGATGGATTAACGATTGTTTTCTGGCAATTTTGAAGAGTGTGGCTAGCGTGGGGCCGTACGTAATAAAGTAGCGGGCCGGGCACGGCCCATGGGCCAGCCTGCTCGCTCGTCGCAACGTCAAATGAAAACTACGGGACACCGGTAACACGACGTGGATACATTTAGGGGAAGAAGTATTATTTGGGTCTTTCGGTAAAGCCACGTAGATAGAAAAATAATAAAAACGTCACGACGTTTCAATCGCAACACAAGCCGTCGTCATCAGGTGAGAAAACAAAACACGAGTACAAAGTCTCGCTTTCAGGAGGATCCCGCGTTGCGACGTTTGGCCGACAGCCACGACGTCGGAGAGGTTTTCAGCTATATGGGAAGAAACCAGAAAAACCCCACGCAGAGCAGGAGGGGAGAGCGAACCAACCAAACGCGGATCGGCACCCGAGGAGTTGGCAATTGAACCTGGGCCCTGCTTGCCGGAAGGCCCAAGCGTTAACCGCCGCGCCCGCCAACCTGCCGCCCATTGTACGAGAGACGAACAAAAATTGAGATTCTAGATTTGAAGCTTTCGTGACTGCAAGGATTCATACTCTTAGTTCTTTCGGTAAAGTCACGTAGGTAAAAAATAAAATAAAAATTAATAAAAATAAAATAATAAAAATCACGACGTTTCGGAGGCAACACAAGTCTCCGTCATCCGGTGGGACCGTCACAGCCAGATTTGCTGCATCAAGTGAGGCAGGGATTCAAGATGCAAGCTCTTAAATACAACTTCTTGGTTCTTTCGGTAAAGTCACGTAGAATGGAAACAATAAAAATAATAAAATAAAAATAATAAAATAATTCTCACGACGTTTCGGCCACAACGCAAGCAGCCGTCATCAGGTGAAGACCAGGTCTGTCGGGGGAGACGCTGTCTCCATTCTACGTGACTTTACCGAAAGAACCAAGAAGATGAATCCCTGCAGTCACGAAAGCTTTAAATCGAAAAATCTTAAATACAAGTTAAGGGGGGAGGAGAGGGAGGGGGGGGAGCTTATCAGAATGTGGTAGCCAATGAATGGAACGTATCGGGAGGGGGGGGGGCGGGGCTAAAAGAATTGAGATTCAACTCTAGATTTGAAGCTTTCGTGACTGCAAGGATTAATATTCTTAGGTTTTTTCGGTAAAGTCACGTAGGTAAAAACATGAAAATTAATAAAAGTAAAATAAAATAATTTACTTGATACAGCTGTCGTGGCCTGTGACGGTTCCACCTGAAAACGGAAGCTTGTGTTGCCTCCGAAACGTCGTGAATTTTATTTTATTTACTTTATTAATTTTAATGTTTTTACCTACGTGACTTGACCGAAAAAACCTAAGAATTTGAGATTCAACGTCGCGCCGAGGTCCTCACCCCGTGGAAGGCGACGCCGACAGAGCCTCGATGTTCAATTCCACGTCCCCTTTGCTCTCCCTGTGGATTGCCACGCCGGCGAGCAGCGAGGGGGGGCACGCGAACGTGGAAATGAACTGCCCCAGAGACTGGAAGGCCGCCATCCTCACCTGCAACGCAATCAGGCACGCGTCGTCAAGGGGTAGGGATTGATCGGTGTCGGATGAGATCGATCAGTGGGGCAGGGATCGATCAGTGAGGTAGGGATCGATCAGTGGGGCAGGAATCGATCAGTGGGGTAGGGATTAATCAGTGGCTCAGGGATCGATCAGTGGGGTAGAGATCGATCAGTGGAGTAGAGATCAATCAGTGGCTTAGAAATCGATCAGTGGGGTAGGAATCGATCAGTGGGGTAGAGCTCAATTAGTGGAGTAGAGATCAATCAGTGGCTTAGAAATCGATCAGTGGGGTAGGAATCGATCAGTGGGGTAGAGATCAATCAGTGAGGTCGGGATCAATCAGTGAGGTAGGGATCAATCAGTGGCTTAGGGATCGATCAGTAGGCTAGGAATCAATCAGTGGGGTAGAGATCAATCAGTGGGTAGGGATCGATCAGTCCTATAATTAACACAGCCCTGAATGGGGTGGGGTACACTAATAATTTCTTAAACCAAATAGAAAAAATTAACTGGCAGTAATCGATCATCTGCTAAATGAATACTTACCTCTGCCCCCCCCCCCCCCCAACCGCGTGTTGTTGTTTGACTATACTTCACCACGCTGGTCAGTGCAAGTTGCTTGACGGGACAGAGCGACATATCCAGTATTGGTTCCGGTATCAATCACCTCTCACCCTTGTCTGGAAATCAAACTGAGGTTTCTTGATTCACTGTGCAGTGAATTGACCACCGGGTTACAACACCCCTTGTGCCCCCCCCCAGCCCCCGACTTCGCCCCCCCCCCACCCAACATTAATAATCAAGCTATGAAAAATAATAATAGATTTTGACCCTTTATGGGAATAAAAAATAGGTGTTAAAATGTTGAAACGCCGAATAGATACCTTTTGCAAAGAATCACGTCTGCATTAACCACACACAAGAACTTGTGGTAAGGGGCCATCCATCTCGTACGTACGCATGGAGGGGGGAGGTTAACCCAAACGCGTGCGTATGAGGGGTCTACTGACAATGTACGCATAGGAAGCAGGGGGGGGGGGCAAAGCCTCGATAATAATTGTCTACATTGGCCTTCAAATGAGTTAGATAGGCCGGCGGTGGACTGTCTGTTTGCTTAAACACGTTAATATTATTAATCCTTGATCGTTTCTGCGTGGATTAAATATCGGCCGTTCTATAGGAGTCGGGGGGGGGGGGGGTGTGCGTCAGGCGTACGTACGCAGGTGGGTAGGGGGGGTGTAAAAAGTCTGCGTGCGTACAGGCAGGGAGGGGTCAAGTTGATACATTTTTGCGTACCTACTCAATGCATGGCCCCTAAAACAGGCAAACCAACGTGCTCTCGTGGAAACAAAAACATTTGAAACGATTGGCCTACACCAGAGACAGCCTTCTCTACGGCACTCTCTTACGCAGTGTCAGACCAGAGAACGCCAAAAGGTGTTTGAACATCTGAGCGCCTATTTTGTTGCCAGAAAGAGTCGTACGCAATCTTATTTTTTTTCATACTTCGTGGTACTGGCCCCAAAAAAAGTCCCGTAGAAATAATCAAGTCGTTCATCAACGCAAGAAAGTGCGGGTTTCTAGACTCTTTTCAGGGTCGTCGGCCAGATTTTCACGGTCCGCGGGGGCAACATCGCAATGCGCAATCCCACGAGCGAATTTCCAGATAATATTTCAGCATTGGGATGTTTCGGCCAATATCGGTTACAATGTACGGCTTTCTTGTGTGTTGTTGTTGCTCTTTTGGCCATGGGAGGAATTTCGATTTAAAGCTTTCATGACTGCAGGGATTCATCTTCTTGGTTGCTTCGGTATGTGACTTCACCGAAAAAAACAAGAAGACCATGGGAGGAAATCGGAGAACCCAGAAGGAGACACCCACACAGAAACAGGGAGGCGGGGGGGGCGGGCGGGCGTGAAGAACACGCAAACTCCACGCAGAAAAGGCGCCCGAGTTGGTGAATCGAACCAAGGTTGGGTCTCTTCTCGGCGCCGGTGCCGCCACCGCCGGCGGGTACGCACCCAGCGCGAGGGATCGCAGATGAGGTTGATGAAGAGCGGCGAGAGCTGGGTGCGGCGGAAATCGTGCGAGGCGGTGCTCGACACGGCGGTGAAGCACTCGGCGCACGCCTTGCGCACGCCCCACACGCTATCCGAGCACAGCTGCATGAACTTGGGAAGCTGTGGGGAAGTGGGGAGGGGGTGGTTAAACAATAAAAAAAAAAACCCGGCGCAAGCTCGGATGCCTTAAACGCGACCCAGTCACCGCCGCACGTTAGTCCTCGGGAAAGTATTTAGCGAGTGGCGTCTGTACTGGGTGGTCGCGTGATATCCGACTCGGTCCTGGGACTCCCTCGTGCTCTGCTGGGTCTTCGATTCTATTCTTGCGCGCGATGGCCGACGTGCTCATACAGGAGCTGAAACGCCAATGCCGAGAGACAGTTCAGGAGACTGTGAGTGTTCGGCTTTGCTATGCCTCCTCGTCCGTCGAAGGAGCGGAGAGACCGCAGTGGTTTAGTACACGGTCCATAGTTTGGGTTGCATGACCACAGTCTTAAATAAGTACCTGGTGCGGTGATGTGTCAACAACAACAACGGGCGTGGTGCTGGCCACCCACCCCCTCGTGCGCCGTGCCGGCCTTCATAGGTGCTCGCTAACAGCACTTGCCCCTACAGTCTGTTACAGGCTATATGGGGGATCTTTGTCTTTGTGTGTGCGTGCGTGTTTGTGTCTGTTTGTTTGTAGTGGTTAGTGCGCGTGATGCTACAAACCCGGCGACCCGAGTTTGATTCACGCTCACGTACGACCACCAACACACCGGTGACGATTATACGAACCGGTCCTGGGCCTCCCCTAGGTGGATTCCGCCTCAAATAAGTACCCGGTGCGGTGTGTAAACATGCGCAGTGCCGCCGCTCTTCGAAAGGTGCTCGCTAACAGGACGTGCCCCAACGGGCTGTATGGCTATATGGTGGTGGGGGGGGGGGGGGAGCATTTGCGTTGCCTTTGTACGCACTCACCAGCACGTGCTCTGTCGTTTTCTGCCCGACAACGCTGCACACGTCGCCAAAGTGAGCCGCACAAACCTGAACACGCACACGAGGAGTACACGCACGCGAGTACACGCACGCGAGGAGTACACGCACGCAACTTGCAACCAGCCCCGCCATCCACACGCACGTCACCACGGCCAGCGCTGCAGCCAAGACGGTCACGAGTCACGAGTGATTTCCTGCTCAGATGAGCTTGGAGGAATTGGCTCTCGTTTCCTGTTGACAAGATCCGAGTCAGTTGCCGGAAAAATCCACATTCACCCGGCGGGGTAGGGTGGGGGTGGGGGGCAGGGAGCAAATCAAAAGTAGAGGACAACCACTTGGTAACTATTTTATCGACCCAGGAGTGATGATGATGATGATGTACACAAACCCCTCTCCCACTCCTTGCACCCCTCCCATTGGAATCAACTTTCCTTGTGAATTAAGCAGCACTGCCCGTAGACTCAGCACTGCACCATAGACTCATTCACCGCCCGTAGACTCAGCACTGCCCGTAGACTCAGCACTGCCCGTAGACTCAGCACTGCCCGTAGACTCAGCACTGCCCGTAGACTCAGCACTGCCCGTAGACTCAGCACTGCACCATAGACTCAGCACTGCATCATAGACTCAACACTACCTGTAGACTCATCACTGCACCATAGACTCAGAACTGCACCGTAGACTCATCACTGCACCATAGACTCAACACTACCAATAGACTCAGCACTGCATCATAGACTCAACACTACCAATAGACTCAGCACTGCCCGTAGACTCATCACTGCACTATAGACTCATCACTGCACTATAGACTCATCACTGCACTATAGACTCATCACTGCACCATAGACTCAGCACTGCACTATAGACTCATCACTGCACTATAGACTCATCACTGCACTATAGACTCATCACTGCACCATAGACTCAGCACTGCACCATAGACTCAGCACTGCCCGTAGACTCAGCACTGCCCGTAGACTCAGCACTGCCCGTAGACTCAGCACTGCCCGTAGACTCAGCACTGCCCGTAGACTCAGCACCGCCCGTAGACTCAGCACTGCACCATAGACTCAGCATTGCCCGTAGACTCAGCACTGCCCCTAGACTCAGCACTGCCCCTGTACATTGAGCAGTCCACCTCCTTAACCTCCTATTGCTCTCTTACAGCCTCACCACCTCTTCTCTATCGCCCATTCCTCTCCCTCCCCTCCGCTCTCCACTCCTTCCCGTCCCTCCCCATAGCCCCGAAGCTCCCCTCTATCGCGGTCACTCACTCCTCAATCCTTGCAGCACGCCCCCCTGTCAACTACATTCCATTCTGCGTCATCGTTTTGTGTGAGCCGTGTCAAGCTATACATTAGATTAGATACGCCTATCCATTGTGTCGTTTTGAAAACCGGGCTCGTGACAGCCCTGGGTGGGGCTGGCATCACAAGTTGGGTGACTGTAAACGGTAGAGTAGACGAGCAGCGCCGGGCCAAATAAGCCGATTCATGGGATCAAAGGGCAAAAGTCTTTGTGCCGTTATCACTCGCTCCGGCCGCAGGAATGTATAAATAGATTAGCACCACTTCAATGTTACCCCGAGCAGGAAATAACTTTACAACTTTTTAAATCGCAATAATGCCGATGTGCCGTGGCAGCATTTCGCGACGTGCGGGCGCGGTTTTCGGACGTAGGCCCCACTTCACAGCACAGACAGAGCGCGCCACAGGGTCAGGGGTCAACTTCCGTATCGACCGGCGAGTGTTGGTACGCGTGCGGGAAAATGCATTCGACGGTTGCGCACCTTGCGGACGTGAAAAATTTTGCCGTCCATGCAGAGCTCGCAAAAGCGCGGCAGCAGCAGACACTCCGTCACGTCCTTGCCGACCACCATCGCCATCTTGCACATGATCTGCGCGGGGGAAACGCGGCGTCAGCAGCTTCCACCTCATCGGTTGCCAATTTGTTTGGCAGCAAAGCCTGACGCTGTTGACGAGACTGAGGAAGGCGAAACCGGTCAAGCGCTTGCCCCCTTTTGAGCGAGCGCGTGCCGATAAAAATAATACAACGCCCAACTCAAAACAATCACTTGCGTCATTGTGGAGAATATTAACCGACGAAACCATCTCTCCACATCAAACCCAGAAGATCTCTGGGGTTTGATCTTCCACAAAGATGCTTATCCGCTGCACAAACCATGGCAGCAGATGCGGACACCCTGATGCACGAATGTAAAACTTTCCAGCGTGCAACTATGGGTCATCCAGAACAGACCGTACAACGTATGACGACGCAATGCCCGATGCACAAATACGAAGGAGACATCACGGCAGTGCATTCCCACTGCTCCCGACGGGGTTATCTGGCTTGACGCACCTGAACGACAAATTATAGTTGTTGCTCGACATCTACATCAGCCGTAGGGATGAGGAAGAAGTGGCACGGCGGGCGAGTGGGAGTGCACAACTTCGGCAGCGTATGTATGCAAGGGTGTTGGATTTATTTCGCACCGTACGTAGCCAACCGTCAGAGGTCGCAACCGGGTACCCGATACCCGTACCCTACCCGATACCCGGCTACCCGTACCCGGCTGGGAACGGGTACCCGTTTGCGACCCCGGTGCGGCCGGGTACGGGTACGGGTAGGCCATGAGTCACTGGTGAGTAACCGTTTGTCACTCATTTCGGGTAGGGTACGGGTAGGGAACGGGTACCCGTACCCGGCCGGGTACGGGTACCTGTTTGCGACCCTGGTGCGGCCGGGTACGGGTAAGGAATCAAAACCCGTTTGCGACCTCTGCCATCCGTGCTACATTGGAGGCGTGGGGTAAGGACAACAAACTAAACACATTTTTTTTTCGATTTAAAGTTTTCGTGACTGCAGGGATTCATATTCTTGGTTCTTTCGGTCAAGTCACGTCGTGAGAATTGTATGTTTTAATTGTATTATTTCCCTTACGTACAAGAGCTCAACACGTGCCATCTGTATTCTTTGGTTCTTTTGATGAAGTCACGTAGATAGAAAAATTATCATAAAAATAAAGTGAGTAAAAATTTAAAATAATACAAATAAAATAAAAATTACAAATATTATTTTCATTTACGTGACTTTACCAAAAGAACCAAGAATATGAAACTAAACACGACAAGAAAAAAATTAACCCGTAAAAACAAAGTTTTTCACTATAAATCCTTTATATGCGTGGCAGCGAACTTAATATAAAGGATTTAAAAATATATTCGCCTGTGGAGGACGCGGGGATCGATCCCGCGACCTTTGGCATGGGAAGCGAGGGCGCTACCAACTGCGCTACTCCGCCACGGCCTGTGGAGGGGTTACGCTCTGGGCTCTTATACTGTGACGTTCAGCCAAAGCCAAGAATGAGTTCTATTTGAATATATGTAAAATAATTTTTTTTTGCCTAAAAAGTGTAAAATTTTGGGAATTTTTTTCACGAACATTAATTGTCTGGCACAACGAGTCTGTGTGCAAAATGTCAGCTCGATTGGATCACGGGAAGTGGGTTAAAAAACGACCGAAAGATTTTCACGGTCGTAAGCAAGCAAGCAAGCACGCAAGCACGCACGCAAGCAAGCAAGCGAACTTAATATAAAGGATTTAAAAAGTGAAGCGTTTCGCCCAGGCGCTGGCCCACCGTGACGGCCTCGGCTTTGTAGTCGTCGTTGCTCTCGGGCGCCGTCAGCTCCAAGATCACGGGGCACACTTTGGTCTCGATGCTGGCGGCGTCCAGCAGCTCCTGCTCCAGCAGCACCAACAGCGCCGCCTGGCTCGTCTTGCGCACCTCTCGTTCGGAAGCACACCGCAGGGGAGCGCAACGCCGGTTAACGCTCGCGCTCGCGTGCCGGGGCGCACGGCAGCACAAGCGCCGTTACCCATCCCCGGGCGGTGCCGTGCCGTTCTGCCGAGGGTTCGTAGTTCGAATCCGGCAAGCCGCCCTGGTTATTATTATTATCCCTGCGGTCGTGTGCATCAACCGCAAGATATGACGCCGTCGTCTGCTTCACGGTGGACGTCAAATTAATCCCGCGACGTCGTTCGAAACGGGTTGGGCCACTGTGCGCCGGCGTCGACGTTCCAAGTTTGGAAGGTTAAAAAAAAGCAACACGGAAAAATGATTCAACTGGGATGATCCGCGTAGCGACATCGCCCCCGACTGGGAAACCACCGCAGACTGTCTGTGACACGTAGCGCCTTTCTTCGTGGTAGCCTTGTGCTATAATAAGAATGATCGCGCCAAAACCAAATGGACTCAACAATTATTACCATTTAATATTACTGCTCCCGTAAACTTGACCTGTTGATGTTTTCCAGCCAAGTCGAGGACTCCCGTCTAGCCGACTATCTAGTCTGGTCCACAACACGTTCAACCACCACACTGCATGTGACAATGTTGTTCACGATCCTGCTAACTCGATCGCTTATCCACGATGTGTTCAACCACCGCACTGCAGGTCACAGTGTTCTTCACTGTCCTGCTCACTCGATCGCTTATCCACGATGTGTTCAACCACCGCACTGCAGGTCACAGTGTTCTTCACTGTCCTGCTCACTCGATCGCTTATCCACGATGTGTTCAACCATCGCACTGCAGGTCACAATGTTTACTGTCCTGCTAACTCGATCGCTTATCCACGATGTGTTCAGTCACCGCACTGCAGGTCACAGTGTTGTTCACGATCCTGCTCACTCGATCGCTTATCCATGATGTGTTCAACCACCGCACTGCAGGTCACAGTGCTGTTCACTGTCCTGCTCACTCGATCACTTATCCACGATGTGTTCAGTCACCGCACTGCAGGCCACAACACTTTCTACTTCCGCTTCTTTCCTCGCACTGCTCCACTAGGGAATTCCCTCCCATCATCATCATCATCACCATCGTCTCTTGTCCCCAAACGCGTGCAATAATATTACTCGATTCAAGAAACATGTTAGGTCTGTCCTATTACAACATACAAAAAGTGCTGTTTGTCGCTGGCCGTTTCACATTCTGGGCCATCGAGCCCGTGCTCAGCACGTCAAAAACATTTTCAAAAAGATTGCGCAACACCGCAGTCAAGCGTTAGAATATATCATCCGAGTGAGATCTGCGAACGCAAAGTTCCAGGACCGTGCTGCGTACCTGGTTGTTCGTGTCAGCCATCAATCGGATGACGACGGGCAGCAGGTACTTCTGAATGATGTGCGGAACCGTGGGATGGCTGTCTTTACAGAAAATGGCGATGTGAGGCAGCTGCTCCATCAGCTCGGCTCGTACCGTTGGCTCTAAACAAGAAACAAAACAAAACCATCAAGCTACCTGGCACGCGAGCTCCGGTCATCCTCGCAGCAGCGGATTTCGGCTGGCCGGCGAACAAAAACGGCGGTCGCCGCATCGTCGCAGCGCTTTCGGACGCGCTTCTGCGGCCGTCTGGAACGCTCTTCCTTCCGATGTCATGAAGCCACTAGAGCTATGAACTTTTAAATCATCTAAATTGACAACTCGTTTCTTTAGAACTGCTTTTCGCATTCAGCTTGTTGACCCTACCCCGCACCTCCGATGAGCAGCACGGTTGGCTACGTATGGTACGAAAGAAGTTCAACATACGGTGCTGTGCTGCTGCGGAACACAATGGCCAGATGACACAGACAGCTCCGCTGAAGTCTAGCGGTAAAACGTGGGGTTTGTTCGACACGGCACTGTGTCCGCCACTCGTGTGAACTTTTGTGGAGCCGCTAACCCTACGATTTAGCCTTGGTTCTAACAGAAACCAGTATAATGCCTTTGGTACGTATGTACGTATTTTGAACTCTTTCACACTGTACTGTAGCCAACTGTGCTGATCGGTGGTGCAGGAGAAGGAATCAGAGGTGCTGGGGAAGAAAAGGTACGGGCTAACACGGCTGCGTATGTTGTCACTGTTGTTGGGCTCCGTGGCTCTTCCATGTGTTTTTATGCCGTGCCACGCGTTGTTTGGCCATGTCCGGGAGCGAAACGTCAGACGTCGTGCCGAAAAGCACGCGGTTCGCGGCCACGAAAGCACATCGCGGGACTAAGTGATGATCCCCTCTTTGACAGTGACACGGTGAAACAGGGGACAGGTAAAGCAGCTGGGTTCCACGAGCCCACGGATCGAAAGCGTGAACTCGCGTTTGCCGTATCCGCGGACAACCTATCCTGATTTCGTTAAAAAAATGTTTTGTCTTTTTGTCGACTGGGTTTGGCCGCGAGGTTCCGCTCATTCTCTGGGCTGAAGCTCGGATTCTTCGGGCCGGCTTCGTCTCGCAGGCACGGGCTGAAATCCGTACGTCAGAATTTTTGGCCGAGTGGAAATGAAAGGAAAACAATAATGAAAATCGCGTCGTCAAAATAGTTTTGTTCAAACGTTTGTAAGCGGCAGGAATGGAAAAATTTAATAACTTTACCATGAATGTTAATTGGTTTTTTACCCTTCTATCTGGCAACAAAACTGACACCTTTTTTACAAGGAGTCATGTTTGCATAGACCACAATACCTGCAGTCATAATGCAAAAAAACACAACTCTGATAATGTATTCAAGGACAGTGCATACATTATCAGAGTTATGTTTTTTGTTTGCATTATGACTGCAGGTATTGTGGTCAATGCAAACATGACTCCTTGTAAAAAAGGTGCCAGTTTTGTTGCCAGATAGAAGGGTAAAAAACCAATTATCATATTTTTTACTGGCAAATGAGGTTCCAATAGTGTAGATGTTTACCATGAATGTTTAATTGTCGGCAGTGCGGTCGTGACATCGCACCGACATTTCTTTCAGAAAAAACTTGTCCAACTCGACAATAATGAAACCGACACTTTTATTTGTTGACTGAGTAGAGCGGTTTTAACAGAGTCGAGTCAACTAGCGCTCAAAAAGAATGAGCCGACTCTCGCGTAGCTTTGTCTCAAGTCAACGTGGCAATGAGATTTATGCGAGGTGGCCGGGGTGCCTCAGGGCGCTGAGGCAGTACCAACCGGTTTCCTGGCTATATATCAATGTTTCAGCCACCTGCGGTCAAAACGAATGCTCAAGCGTAGTGAGATGATGATAATGGTGGTGGTGGTGGCGGTCTTGGTCCGATCACCGATGGGACTGTGTGGGAAAAAACCAACAACCGACCCGTGTCAAATTTAGTTTGCTACTTTGGCCAAATTCCAGCTACGAGAATTAAAACATTTGCAGCTGTATTGACATACGACAAACACTTCTCCGCAGGGCAATCTACCAAGCGTGCTCCCCAGTGTGAATGAACAGGTATCGTAAAGTGTCTTCAGAAGCAGTTGTGCGTCTGAATTTTCCCGGGTCATTCTCCGACACAGGGTTGTGTGCTGCTCGCTGCTACGAAGTTCAAAATGAAAACCTTCGTCACGTCGCGAGACGAGGAAAAACGCCGATGTCACGACACGCGGAACAAAAATAGGGGGAGAAAATTTAGAAAAATAAATGTTTTAAATAAAAATGTAATGTTCTTAGGTTTTTTCGGTAAAGTCACGTAGGTAAAACATTAAAATTATTAAAAGTAAAATAAAATAAAAATCACGACGTTTCGGAGGCAACACAAGTCTCCGTCATCAGGTGGGACCGTCACAGCCAGATTTGCTGCATCAGGTGAGGCAAGGATTCAAGATGCAGCAAATCTGGCTGTGACGGTCCCACCTGATGACGGAGACTTGTGTTGCCTCCGAAACGTCGTGATTTTTATTTTATTTTACTTTTATTAATTTTAATGTTTTACCTACGTGACTTTACCGAAAAAACCTAAGAATATGAATCCTTGCAGTCACGAAAGCTTCAAATCTAGAAAAAATGTAATGTCCCTTCCTGCGTCGGTTTTCACGGTCGGTTGTTCTGCATAGCCCTCTCTAATCCATGGTTTCAGGTCGTGCCGCTGTGCTGTTCGACACGTAGTCCGACGTTTCGCCCTACGTGCTGGGAGCTTATTCAGAAGCGAAACTGAGACTGTCAGCGATCGAACGGCGACTTGTCCCGTTTCGCAAAATATGAGCGAGTTAAAAAAAAATTTCATTACAGGAAAAGCTCTTATCTGGCATCCATGGGGAATGGGGTCTCCTGGTTAATCAAATATGCCGGCTATCTGCAATGCGAATTATACTTATGGTTGAACCAGAATAAAGAAACGAAGCCGACATTTTCATTATGACATCGGAAGTAATAATATACTCGTTTGCCGAGTTACTCACCACCGGTCAGTTGCAGAGCATTCTAAGCTGATTGTAGAGAGGCGGTGGGGCCGTTTAGAGTACAGTATACAGTACTGTATTCATGGACTACCGCTAGCGCCAACATCTCGGCAACATCCCCAAGCTTCCGTTAACAACAACAGATCTATGAGAAGAGCACGGAATTTTTCCGGACACGTGAAGGGAGAAATCTGTGATTGGCGTCTATGACATACACCGATTAACAGAGCGTTCCGGACGGTAAAGCAGAGGTCGCAAACGGGTTTTGATTCCTTACCCGTACCCGGGCCGCACCAGGGTCGCAAACGGGTACCCGTACCCGGCCGTACCCGTACCCTACCCGTACCCGGCCGGGTACGGGTAGGGTACGGGTACCTGATTGTGACCTCTGGGATGAAGCCATGTTGCAGGCGCGGGTGGGTTGATTCTAGGAACTTGAATTGTGAGAGGAGACAAGACGTTGGGAAATGAGTGACAAACGGTTACTCACCAGTGACTCACGGTCTACCCGTACCCATACCCGGCCGCACCAGGGTCGCAAACGGGTACCCGTACCCGTATCCGGCCGGGTACGGGTAGCCGGGTATCGGTTAGGGTACGCGTATCGGGTACCCGGTTGCGACCTCTGCAGTAAAGTGCTGGATAACAGAACTTTTCCCTGATTATTATTAAGCTCCCAGCAGCGGAAGCGAATTGTAGGACATCACGCCGAGGTACAATCCGACAACGTACGATGTATGTAGAACTTCTTTCGCACTACCGTACGTAGCCAACTGTGTTAATTGGCGGTGCGGCAGGGTAGGGGGGGGGATAGGACAACAAACTAACACGCAACATTTCGATTTAAAGCTTTCGTGATTGCAGGGATTCATCTTCTTGGTTCTTTCGGTAAAGTCACGTAGAAGGGAAGTAATAAAATAATAAAAACAAAACGTAATAAAATAATATAATTCTCACGACGTTTCGGCTACAACGCAAGCAGCCGTCTTCAGGTGAAGAATGAGACACTGCCAAGCTAGGAGCTTATATATAAGCTAAGTTGGGGGTGTAAGAAGAGCGCCTTATGCACATTCTTTTGTTAAGGCGCTCTTCTTACACCACCCAACTCAGCTTATATATAAGCTCCTAGCTTGGCAGTGTCTCATTCTTCACCTGAAGACGGCTGCTTGCGTTGTAGCCGAAACGTCGTGAGAATTATATTATTTTATTACGTTTTGTTTTTATTATTTTATTACTTCCCTTCTACGTGACTTTACCGAAAGAACCAAGAAGATGAACACGCAAAAATCTGTTCCAAACCGCACAACCACGGCACATGCGAGCGGGCGGGCTCCTCACCGGCATCTTCCGACAGCTTGACGATTACTCGCATGACTTTGAGCGACTCGTTTTCATCGTCCATCACGAAGCGGAACGTGTCCAGGAGGCTCCTGGTGATCATCTGTCTGTAAAACGCACGCGCGCATTACGATGAGAACAGGGGTATGTCTCTCTCTTTTGCCGAAACGCCGGAGATACAGTAACGGTATTGGAGCGGACGGGAGCGATGGCTACGAACTCGGCGACCGCCCGGTTTCTTTGGAGACGTGCGAGGAATGCCAAAATTGCAAATAAGTTTCACGTTAATAATCGCTAAAAACCAAAATCCAGAATGATAGAACATCATCGTTTAATATTACGCTTGTTTGGGCAGGAAAGCCTCACCGAGTCTCATGACTCTTTCGGGAGGTTCCTGCCAAGTTATTGCAGGTGATTTTTACATACGATGCCAAAGGAGACGTTTGTGGGACACGTTTTCGAATGCTGCAAACTTTGGACCACGACGCCCGTCACACAATGGCCAACTCACAAGGATGACGTCACGCGATCTTTCTTAATGTCCACTGTGAAGCAGACGTCACGCAGTGTTTGTATTGTGGATGCACAGCGCACCCTAGCTTACAAATCTCAACCATGGTCTCGCTCAAACGTATATCGCTCCCCTCAATTCCTTCTACGCTGCCTCTGGCCCTCTGCGTTCACAATCCCAGCGGTCTCTCTGTCTGTTCCCCCTCCTCCTTGTGCTCAATCCCGATTGCATTCTTTCTCGCTTCTGATGCCACGGTGGCGAGATGTTAACGACCTCGCCTGGTTTCCAGGAGGTCGTGGTTTCGATCCCGACCCCGACGCCTGAATATTTGGAGTTTGCGTGTTCTCCCCGTGGTCGTGTGGATTTTCCCTCCACATTTTAGAAACATGCGTTTACAGTATTTTGCTGTTATTATACATTTCCATGCGATAAGCCACTTCTGAAAAAGAGCTACATTGCTCAGTGGGGCTTACCTGGTAAACCAAAAACTTTTAACATTTTTTTTTACACTGGAACAAGCTGCCCCTAAACGTCAAACTGTCCACAATTAATTAATTCTTCCCTTAGAACTCAGATTTTTCCTCGCTTGCCAGACTCCTCTTCCCCCTACCTTCCCCATCATTTGCTCCACCATCCCTCTTTCCAACTTCCCCACCTATGCATCACACTCGCTGATCATTAACCACTCGCCGTTCGTTTCATCATCGTTCATTTCACTCGTCATCATGTTCAGCATGTGCTACCATCCTTCTCATCAACCCATCTCTGCACACTCCTGCTGTACAAATAGCTAATTCCTTTGCTCAGCACCTTAGTCAAGGCGCTATATAAATTAAAGATAAGACCTGCAAGCTTAATAAGGATGGCTTGCCAGATTTGAACCGTGACTACAACCTCAACGCTCATTCGAGTAGGAAACCATTTGACCTTTGACCCAGAGCTGCAGAATGAGCTGCAACACTTTGGCACTTACGTATAAAAGATAATAATTCCGCATGGCATTCAAGTTTAAAACGTGAAATAACTACACGGAGAAATGTCGCCACGCATCACGAGTCTGCACGGACCGAAAAGACCTGACACATGCGCTTGTGGTGAAACAGTGGTCACATGACCCATAGGGACTGGTTAAGAGGGGGGAGGGGGGGTTTGCTAACGTGTCCCGCGAAACTAAAGCGAGTAGTTTTCATTTCTTGCGGAACAAAATGCTTTTTAAATCCTTTATATTAAGTTCACTTGCTTGCTTACGCGCTTACGACCGTGCAAATCTTTCGGTCGTTTTTTAACCCACTTCCCGTGATCCAATCGAGCTGACATTTTGCACACAGACTCGTTGTGCGTGACAATTTATTTTCGTGAAAAACATTTTTCCAAAATTTTCCACTTTTTAGGAAAAAAAAAAATTCATATTTAATTTAAAATACCAATGTGATAAAAATGAAACTCTTACTCAAGAAAAACAGAAATGAATAATAAAATAAAACCGATGCCACGCATATAAAGGATTTATAGTGAAAAACTTTGTTTTTACGGGTTAATTTTTTTGAAACATTCTTCTGTCCTCAGTCACCGTCTGTGTGCGTGTTTTTACTGTAAGCTTTTTGCATGGCAAAGTACAACAGCAACGTTGCAGTAAGTTCATGCGTACCCCCCCCCCCCCATTGGTGAGTGTGAAGCATCGTATCGTACGTGACTCACAACTTCAAGGAAATGTTGCTTTGCACTTCCTGAAAAGAGGATTTACTCACAGCGTTCAAAGGTCAAAGTTCAGCCCTCGAGTGGCCGCACTTCACGACACTGGCCAGTGTCCATTGATGAGGTTTGGCAGGGGCGGTCAAACAAGACCGACTCAAATGCCAGTGATGGCCCACTATTTTAACCGTCGCACCAGAGGTCGCAATCGGGTACCCGATACCCGTACCCTACCCGATACCCGGCTACCCGTACCCGGCTGGGTACGGGTACCCGTTTGCGACCCTGGTGCGGCCGGGTACGGGTAGCCGCACGTGACTCACCCCAACCAATGAGTGAGAAGGCCGTGAGTCACTGGTGAGTCACCGTTTGTCACTCATTTCCCAACGTCTTGTCTCTTCTCTCAATTCAAGTTCCTAGAATCAACCCACCCGCGCCTGCAAAATGGCTTCATCCCAGAGGTTGCAATCGGGTACCCGATACCCGTACCCTACTCGATACCCGGCCGGGTACGGGTAGCCGGGTATCGGGTAGGGTACAGGTACCCATTTGCGACCATGGTGCGGCCGGGTACGGGTATGGGTAAGGAATCAAAACCCGTTTGCGACCTCTGCCGTACCCTACCCGATACCCGTACCCTACCCGATACCCGGCTACCTGTACCCGGCCGGGTACGGGTACCCGTTTACGACCCTGGTGCGGCCGGGTACGGGTAAGGAATCAAAACCCGTTTGCGACCTCTGCGACGCGCTCAGAGATGGAATCGAACCGACGACCTCTGGATTAAAAGTCCGGTGCGCTCACCATTACACCAACGTGGCAGCTCCCCAGTGTCAAACCTGGAGCGCAAATCACTCAAAACACCCAAAGAGGCTTTCCCGCAGCACCGCTTACACATGCACGCGCGCAGACACACATACGGCGACGCTCACCTGTTAAATATGTTGTCGCTTGATGAGAATTTCTCCATCCTGGCCAGTGGCGTCAACATTTCATCCTGAGTTATGGTATCCAGCACCGACGTTATCGACTGGATATCGCTGTCCGGGCCAAAGTCGTCGAAACCTGAAGGATAAAAGGAGAGAGGGCGCATACGACCTCGCTCAGCGAAGCTGTGACGGCGGAGCCAAGCGGGGAGCAGAGTCTGTTCAGCCGATGCCACGCTCATTCATCCCGAGTCAACTTGCACCCTCACTTAGACGGCCAATAATAATTGAATACATTTGCTATTCATGTTGTTCCCATAGGGCAAAGCTATCACAAAAGCACTATATATCACAGATGGGTATAGTCTGCTGGTAGGGAGCGATGCTGTAACGTGGTATTACTCAATTAAGTCATTTGCAAGCAAATGTTCTTGGTTCTTTCGGTAAAGTCACGTAGAAGGGAAATAATAAAATAATACTTTCTTATTTCCCTTCTACGTGACTTTACCGAAGGAACCAAGAATATGAATCCCTGCAGTCACGAAAGCTTTAAATCACAATTTGCAAGCAAATGTTAAAACTCTGGACCTTGAGAGCGGCACTATTTTTCGAATAGCATTACGGACTCTTTAAACGTCCTCCGACAAGCAGCCAGCACCGTGGTAACGAGCAATAAAGCTTTCGGTATTAACCACGGAGGTCGCTGGGGGTTCAAACCGTGAACTTGGCAATGGGCGACCGCTCAGCCACGTCACCGCCCAACTGAAGGCGATCTCCATATGGGCCGATTTCTCGCCGGTAACATGAGTTAAGAGACAACGCAAGTCACGGAAAATAAAAAAAGAGCTGATTTAAAGCTTTCGAGACTGCAGGGATTCATCTTCTTGGTTCTTTCGGTAAAGTCATCACGTAGAAGGGAAGTAATAAAATAATAAAAAATAAAACATAATAAATAATTCTCACGACCTTTCGGCCACAACGCAAGCAGCCGTTCTCAGGTGAAGAATGTTTCTTCTTTAAAGAATGTTTCTTCACCTGAGGACGGCTGCTTGCGTTGTGGCCGAAACGTCGTGAGAATTATTTTATTATGTTTTATTTTTTATTATTTTATTACTTCCCTTCTACATGACTTTACCGAAAGAACCAAGAAGAAAAAAAGAGCCGTTTCCATACCCGAGTCAGCACGCGAGATGAGTAGCAGTTTTCCACTAACGTTTCGGAGTAAGACCGTGCCATAAATACTTACGAGTTTAAAGACCACGATCATTGTGTTACCGACAACAAAGTACCGTACTATGTCGATCGTAAGATGCTCTGGAAAGTAAGATGCACTAGAAATGTGGGCTTGCTGTCAATAAAAGTTACACTAATCCAATCACTTAACACACACACGCGTACCTGATGATAATACACACCCCAACATTTTTCTTTAAAATGCGGGGAGGGGGGGGAATTTAAGTTATTATTATCCAGAGAACATGGTAAATATTGGATAATTAATTGAACGTCTCCTCTAACCATATTTTGGATTAAAAGTTTGGTGAGATTTTTCCCGCTCGGCCCAAATTCTGTCCGTGGGTCCAGTCTCGAGTGGGACTCGAATCAACTTGCGTCGGCTCACACGAGGCTGGTTTCTCTCAGAGCCAGAGGTGGAAGGCACCTTGAAATTATAATAAGCAAGTGGCTAGGAGATGTTATCTGCCTCGTCTGGTATACAGGAGGTCGTGGTTTCGATCCAGACCCGGATGCCTGTGGTCGCGTGGATTTTTCTTCGGGTCCTCCGGTTTTTCCCCCCACATTTGTATTCAACGTCACGCGTTTAGAGTATTTGGCTGCGATACATTTCCACGTGACAAGCCACTTCGTTGAGCTTTCATTTGTGGCCAAGTCGCTTCTGAAACAGAGCTATACAGCTCAGTGGGCCTTACCTGGTAAAATAAAAAATGCAATGCTTTATAGATTTCATAAATTGGGCAGGGTCTCTGAAAAGAAAAGTCCATTCGGTCCGAAATCTCACGTCAACAATTCAGGCCACCCCAAGAAGCGAAATAACTGAGGAGAATTTGGGCTACCACCCAAATTGGCAGCTATAACGCGGGTCGTCTAAAATCATGGAAATGAAGTGTGTGGGGAGCGGCATTTCGAGTTTTGAGCTTCATGCAAATGTGGTATTGCAACTACACATCCCAAGGCGTGGAACAAGAACAAATGCCAAACTCGCAGGCGAGAAAGTCGCGCTCAATGCGCCTCATCTCGTTGTATCTCAGAAGTTCAGCATAGTTCTGATCAGTGCTTAGATAGCACACAGAATCCACAACGGTACAGCAATGGATTCTGGAATCCATCTGTCGCGCAGCGTGGAGTGACAACCCCCTTGTACGCGTGGTGGGGGTCGCGTCTCCGGGTTCACTCCCACATGATGCCAACCTCTCGTGAAAATTAAATTGGCCAAACATCCCGAATGTAGTCGCAGCAACCCTCCTGAAAGATAAGTCGAGACTCCCGGGGGGTAATGAGTAGAGGATCGCCGCCAAGAGTCGCCGTCGGCTGCACACGAGCCGTGAAAGATTCTAATTAAAGGGAGGGCCCCTCTCAACCCTCGCACCACGAAGGGGCACAAACATCTTAACACTGACAATGGAGCAAGGAGGCGGGGGGGGGGGGGTCGTTGGAGCGTGATGGGTGCAAGTGAGCAGGCTGAGCAGGATAGTTGGGTTGAGCCGGGCGAGAGGCGCAAGACAGTGAAGAGAGTGTGGAGAGACGGAATGCAGGGAGAATTGGCGTGGGGAATTGAGTGAAAGAGGGTTGGGGAGAGTGCAAGATGACATTATTAAGTGGGCGTGTTAGGAGAAGCTTTGGGCAGAGAGGGGTGACTACGGGAGGAGGGATAGGAGAGTGCATAGCTGTCAACCCATACAGGGAAATTGAGTTTGCAGGTCCATCTAGCGTACAGCTGCTTCAATACGGGCTTTGTAGGATGAACGTTGAGATTTGTAAGCGGCACGGGGTGACCAATAAGGTCTGAATTGGTCTGTAATAACGCCGGCACTGATAAGGGGTTGACAGGTATGACTGGTGTGCCGAACTAGTAACCAATTTGCACGTTTTGTTCACCTGAAAAATCTAATTAATTGGCTGTCGGGTGGTGGCGGTGGGTTTAACAACACATTTATATTTTATGTGATGTAACCCCCCCCCCCCAAAAAAGCACCTTTATTATGGATAGAAGGTTAGTGGAGAGTCTGGGAGAGTTGAGTGGAGTGTGCCTGTAGCGAGGAAACTTGCCGTTGAGTGGAGGGGAGAGTTAGGGGAGCACAATAGCATGAGGGGCGAATGGAGAGTGTGCAGGACGCGTTGGTGGAGTCAGGGGAGAGTGAGGGCAAAGAGGAAATGGATGTTGGGAGTGGAGAGGGGACTTGCATTGCGTGAGGGGAGAGTTAAGGGAGAGTTAAGGGAGAGTTGAGGGAGAGTTAAGGGAGAGTTGAGGGAGAGTAGAGGGAGAGTTAATGTAGTGAGGGGAGAGTTAAGGGAGAGATAAGGGAGAGATAAGGGAGAATTAAGGGAGAGCTAAGGGGAGTTAAGGTAGTGAGGGGAGAGTTAAGGTAGTGAGGGGAGAGTTAAGGTAGTGAGGGGAGAGTTAAGGGAGGGTTGAGAGAGTTAAGAGAGAGTTAAGGGAGAGTTGAGGTAGTGAGGGGAGAGTTAAGGGAGAGTTGAGAGAGTTGAGGGAGAGTTGAGGGAGAGTTAAGGGAGAGTTAAGGGAGAGTTAAGGGAGAGTTAAGGGAGAGTTGAGGGAGAGTAGAGGGAGAGTAGAGGGAGAGTAGAGGGAGAGTAGAGGGAGAGTAGAGGGAGAGTTAATGTAGTGAGGGGAGAGTTAAGGTAGTGAGGGGAGAGTTAAGGGAGAGATAAGGGAGAGATAAGGGAGAGATAAGGGAGAATTAAGGGAGAGCTAAGGGGAGTTAAGGTAGTGAGGGGAGAGTTAAGGTAGTGAGGGGAGAGTTAAGGGAGGGTTGAGAGAGTTAAGAGAGAGTTATGGGAGAGTTAAGGGAGAGTTAAGGGAGTGAGGGGAGAGTTAAGGGAGAGTTGAGAGAGTTAAGGGAGAGTTGAGGGAGAGTTGAGGTAGCGTGGGGAGAGTTAAGGGGGAGTTAAGGGGGAGTTAAGGGAGCGAGGGGAGAGTTGAGGGAGAGTTGAGGTAGCGTGGGGAGAGTTAAGAGAGAGTTAATGGAGCATGGGGAGAGAGCAGCGCAACAGGAGCATGAGGGTGACGACAATGGAGACTTAGTGACGGTGAGAGGGGGGTGGGTAGTCGTGACAGTGAGTGGATATTGAGTGTCTAGTGAGTGTCTAGTTAGGAGAGAGTCGGGAGAGCGTCACGCGCGAACGAGGGAGCGGTGTGCGGTGTGTGTGTGTGGAGTGTTGAGGGTCCATCTGACGCAACTGTGCACGAACACGAGACGTCGCGTGACGGCTGCGCTGAGTTGGCGTTGGAGTTGGAGGAGTAAAGAATCGAGAGTTGACGAGGCCCCGCGCAACAGGCGAATGAGGGGAGACGCGAACCGAGAGCCCCGGGGGGTGGTGGTAGTAGTGGTGGTGCGGCGACAAGTCAACGCAAAGTTTACGGGGTGAGAGAGGAGGGAGGAGGAGGAGGGAGGAGGAGGAGGGGGGGCAGAGCGAGCGAGGGATCGAGAGGGGAGCGCTCAGCCGGAAGAATTCGGAGGACGAGAAGCCGCCGCCGCTCGCCGCTCGTCGCTCGCCGCCTGCTGCCCCGAGAATGCCTCACGGGGCTTCAGCTTCTTGTCGTTGTTGCCGACGGCCTCGGCCGCTTCCGGAGTTTGGCGGTGGCGGGGAGACGAGGAGAAGGAGGCGGACGGGGAGATGTTGGGGTGGGGGGGAAGGGGGAAGCTGTTGGCGGAAAGAGGCCGAATCCCCGACGGGAGGTAAAACTCACAGTCGGCCGGGTCCCCCTCGGAGTCGTCCGTGAGAAGGCTGATATCTGCGGGCGCACACAGCACACAGCACACAAGGGACCCGGGGCGTGGAGGGGAGGCAGAGGGGAGCTGTTGAAACTCGCTGGGAGCCGACTACAGCGCCGCGAAACGCGCGGAGCCGCCGAGCGCACGAGTCCTCACCCGCCATCTTGACCCGCCTGCACCGCCTCGGAGGCGGCGTGTGATTGGCTGAGCAGGCGACCCCGCCCCTTTCCGGTCCCTGGCCCCGCCTACCGTTCCCCGGCCACGCCCCCTCAGCCATCGTCTGCTATGTACGTCATTTCCGGGAAGACACCGCTCCCCGTCTCTCTCGTAGTATCTTTATTGGTATCGGCTGGTTGTATAAACTTTATTAGTCAACTGTATTAATGACTTTATTAATAACTTCATTAGTTAACTTTATTAGGCAACTTTATGAACAACTTTATTAATCTACTTTGTGAATAACTTTCCTAATAACTTTATTAGTCAACTTTATTAGGCAACTTTATGAACAACTTTATTAATCTACTTTATGAATACATTTCCTAATAACTTTAATAGTCAACTTTAATAGTAAAATTTTATGAACAACTTTATTAATCTACTTTATGAATACATTTCCTAATAACTTTATTAGTCAACTTTATTAGTAAACTTTATGAACAACTTTATTAATCTACTTTATGAATACATTTCCTAATAACTTTATTAGTCAACTTTATTAGTAAACTTTATGAACAACTTTATTAGTCAACTTTATGAACAACTTTATTAATCTACTTTATGAATACATTTACTAATAACTTTATTAGTCAACTTTATTAGGCAACTTTTAAATGAAGTTTTGGAAGGGTCATAAAATGCATCATAATCGAGGGTTTTTTGGGGGTTAGATCGCGTCCACGTAGCTGTCAACCCGTACGATTTACCCCGTATTCTTGTCCAGGAATAAATGTCTATTTGTTTGTGTTTCTCCCTTGTGATGGGACTTTGTAGGATGAACGTTGAGTTTTATAAGGGCACGGGGTGATCCATAAGGTCTGAATTGGTCTGATATGGGTTGACAGGTTTGCGTAAATATAGAAATGTGTCGTTAAACCCGCCACCACCCGACATCCAATGAGTAACGCTTGTCACGTAAACAGAACGTGGCCAATTCGTTACGGCTACAGAATTAACCGGTTGTGTGTTGGAGTGTAAACCCACTACAACATTTACAATTAAAGTGTAGTGTGTAGTAGTGTAGTGTACAATGTAGTGTATAGTAGTGTAGTGTACAATGTAGTGTATAGTAGTGTAGTGTACAATGTAGTGTATAGTAGTGTAATGTATAGTGGTGTAGTGTACAATGTAGTGTATAGTAGTGTAATGTATAGTAGTGTAGTGTACAATGTAGTGTATAGTAGTGTAGTGTACAATGTAGTGTAGTGTAACATGTAGTGTATAATAGTGTAGTGTATAGTAGTGTAGTGTACAATGTAGTGTATAATAGTGTAGTATATAGTAGTGTAGTGTACAATGTAGTGTATAGTAGTGTAGTGTATAGTAGTGTAGTGTACAATGTAGTGTAGTGTAACATGTAGTGTATAATAGTGTAGTGTATAGTAGTGTAGTGTACAATGTAGTGTATAGTAGTTTAGTGTATAGTAGTTTAGTGTACAATGTTGTGTATAGTAGTGTAGTGTATAGTAGTGTAGTGTATAATGTAGTGTAGTGTACAATGTAGTGTATAATAGTATAGTGTCTCGTAGTGTAGTGTACAATGTAGTGTATAGTAGTGTCGTGTATAGCTTAGTATACTAATAGAGCACTAACCGGTTGTGCGTTGGAGAGTAACCTCACAACAAAATTTACAATTCAAGTACCATGACGTTCCGACAGTGATTACAACTTATCTGTCATCAGTAACGCAACTGTGAGTGTGGTGGGCTTTATTTAAATACTAATGAAATAATAAGCGACGTTTCATATCACAGAGGGAACCCAACTAACTAGTTTCAACTCTGTCTGAGCTCTTCACTTAAAGCTTTCGTGAGTGTAGTAATTCATATTCTTGGGTCTTTCGGTAAAATCACTTAGATCGATTCAAAGAAAATAACAAAAACTACGTTTCGATCGCTTCAGACGACCGCTTGTGTTGCTATCCAAACGTCATAGTTTTTTTGTTATTTTTTTGTTATTTTCTTTGATCTTTTCTACGTGACTTTACCGAAAGACCCAAGAACACATTCCTGCGGAGGGAGCTGGTAGGAACGTTGGGTTGCTCGGTCAATGGCCAGGGTCAACGGCGGCGTGGTGTATTCCGCAAATATGCCCGACTGTGAGGGCGGGCACAAGCCGGTGTGAGTAGGTTGACCCTGGCCATTGACCGAGCAACCCAACGTTCCTACCAGCTCCCTCCGCAGGAATGTGTTTCCCTGGCGTGGCCGAGAAGGTGCTGATCGATTTGCAGCATCACGAGGCCTCCTTTGCCAGTACCAAAATATGATAATAATAGGGTTTTTATGCGTAAATTAAATTTACGCATAAATTATCAGTGTTGTTTTTTGTTTGCATTCTGACTGCAAGTATTGTGGTTAATGTAAACATGATTCCTTGCAAAAGCTTTCAGTTTTGTCGCCATAAAAAAGGGGAAAACCCCTATTATTTATCATTTGCAGCATGTTCAGAATTCGGCTTTTATGGTGTTAATCAGAACGCCTTAAATTTCGATTTAAAGCTTTCGTGACTGAAGGGATTCATCTTCTTGGTTCTTTCGGTAAAGTCACGTAGAAGGGAAGTAATAAAATAATAAAAATTAAACATAATAAAATAATTCTCACGACGTTTCGGCCACAACGCAAGCAGCCGTCCTCAGGTGAAAACCAGGTCCGTCGAGGCGACAGAGTCTGAATGAAACAGCACACGAGCTTGGAGCATACCCAGCTTATATATATGCTCCAAGCTCGTGTGCTGTTTCATTCAGACGCTGTCTCCCCGACAGACCTGGTTTTCACCTGAGGACGGCTGCTTGCGTTGTGGCCGGAACGTCGTGAGAATTATTTTATTGTGTTTAATTGTTATTATTTTATTACTTCCCTTCTACGTGACTTTACCGAAAGAATCAGAACGCCTTCACATCGCATATGACTCCGTGTTGGCCTCCCTGCACTGGTTTCCAGTTTTCGCCGTGAATCATCTTGTAGCTGACGTCGTTGACACGCTGCACCCCCCTCAAGGTTCTGAAGATCTGGGCACGATGCAGATCTTCTTTCTGAATTCCCAGGTCGAGGTTTCGGTCTATGGGTGCTCTTTCACGAGAAGCATGGATCTCTGAGCCTGTGGACATTTTTAAAATGTGCAATCAAACCCTACTTATGCGTACTTTTTGGTTCTTTCGGTAAAGTCACGTAGGTATAAAATAAAATAAATCACGACGTGACTTTACCGAAAGAACCAAAGAGTATGGATTCCTGCAGTCACGAAAGCTTCAAGTCCTGTTTTTCCGCTTCCGATTATTCAAAATGTAGTTAATTTAGTAAATTATTCTTGAAATGTATTTATAATATTATGTTTCTACTGAGTGGCTGACGCTGCTGTGTCCTGTACAGCGCGTTGAGATCCGTGAAAAGCGCTGTATAAATTTAAATTTTATTACGTAGCCAACCGTGCTTGCTAATTGGAGGTGCAGGGGGAAGAACAACACACTAACAAGTAAACCCGTAAAAAACAAAGTTTTTCACTTTAAATTCTTTATATGCGTGCCATCGGGGCGGCTAGAGTCCTCTCGTTTTATGGCTTGAGATGGCTGCCACCTATGGGTCAGATGATTGTCTGGCAGCATTAAACAATTGGTAATTAAATATTTTAAAAAAATTCCCTAAACAGTGTAAAATTTTGGCATTATTTTTTTCACGAAAATGCATTGTCACGCACAACGAGTCTGTGTGCAAAATGTCAGCTCGATTGGATCACGGGAAGTGGGTTAAAAAACGACCGAAAGATTTGCACGGTCCTAAGCAAGCAAGCGAACTTAATATAAAGGATTTAAAAAAAACAAAAAGCAGTTCTAAAGAAATTCGTTTTTCAATCTGCATCATTGAAAAGTGCATATCTCCAGTGGCTTCATAACATCGGAGGGAAGAGCGTTCCAGACGGCCGTAGAAGCGCATCTGAAAGCACCGCGCGATGATGCGGTGACCGCCGTCTTTGTTCGATGGTCAGCGAACAGCCGTCGCTGCTGCTGCTGAGAGGATGACCGGAGTCCACGCGATGGTTTTAGGGGCCGTCCATAAATGACGTCACGCGATTTTGAACGATTTTTGACCCCCCCCCCTCCTCGTCACACGGCGTCACAAAAAGTCAGACCCCCCCCCCTCAAATATGACGTCACAAAGCTCTGCCCCCCCCCCCCTCCAAAAAACATTTCCATTTGAAAATAAAACATGCTTCAAATCGCTTTAAACTATTGTCATTGCAGTGCGTATTTAATGTTGCGCTGCACTCTGATGTTGTAGGAGTGTTGTTATATCAATTAATGTTGTAACAATTCTATATATTTTTAAAGTTGCGCATTTTGATGTGACGTCACATTTCTCAAACACCCCCCCCCCCCCTCGTCAAACATCGTCATAAAAATCTGACCCCCCCCCCTAGGTGCGTGACGTCATTTATGAACGGTCCCTTATGCTTCTTGACGAGATCAGCGAGGTATTTGTGGTGCATTTGTGGTCAAGCGCTTTGTCATTTATTCATCACTCCGAGCCACAAAGTGTCCTGCGAAAAAAAAACCGCATTTTCCCTTTTCTATCAGTCGACAGAAATTATGCTTGGTTTGCACGCGCGCGTGTTCCTCTTCCGGTGTTAAACATTCACAAGCATCGCCCCTTACTGGCAGAGCAATGCCCCGGGTCACGCATGCAAACCAGACTAAATATCTCTTGCTCGCTTGTCAAGCCGTGGGACGGAATGAACTGGAAACCGAGGCTCGATCACACTCACCCATTCACTCACTCACTCACCCACCCACCCACCTGCTCATTCACTTCGTGCAAATGAGCCTACCCTGGTCCCTTGATGTCTCAGCTGCTTAAACAACGCGCACGGTAATGAGGATGTCCCACCGTTTCTGGGCAGCAGCAGCAGCATCTGTGAGACGGGTGTCACATTTTGGACGCGTTGTGTCCACGATTCTCCAACTTGTTTTGGCCCCGCGGACAACTCAGCCGATGCA